GGGTTGTGCGCGTCAGCAGTTTGAAAAAAAAAGTTATTTGAAACATATGAATAAAATTCAGTTTAACAGGTTGTAATGAGGGTGATCCCATTGTTCCTAATAAGTATATATGTGAGCTATATAAGACTACTATGCGACGTTGAGAAGAACTCGGAAAAGGGCTCTATTTGATGGCAGAGCAAACACCAAAGAACAAAGTGCTTTAAATGAACAAATGATGCACCACCTTGAATCAACTTGAGACTGGGGCAGAGTAGAAACATCAAAACGTAGAAGAGACAGAGAATAGACAGGACGACGTCTCAAAATCAGCTAACTCCTTTATTTAGTCCACCTCCCTAATAGTCTCATTCTCATGGTCATCACCACCAACACAAAAGACTAAGTCTATTTCAGTTCAAGCGCACAGTCTACATTACACAATGTAAGAAAGTTGATAACCTTACAGGTCGACGCGCTAAAACAACATTATACGGTGTATACTGTGGCGCTTGAACTGTATACACTTCATCCTTCTCGTTGGTGGTGATGACCTTGAGGTTGATACTATAAGGAGGCGGGAAGAGGTTGCTGAGTTTGAGACGTCGTCTTGTCTATTTTTTGTCTCCTCTACGTTTTGATGTTTCTTCTCTACCCCAGTCTCAGTTTATTTCAACATGGTTAATAATCACCAGCTCGCCTGCACCCTTACCATATTATCTCGAATAACACACATTCCTCCACGAGTACACCATAACCATTTTTATTTAAAAAGTATTTTTTCTCACAGAGTATGTCTAAAAAAATAGCCCTTTTACTATGTAAGCATCAAAGATTTGAATATTGTTTTTGAATTTTATTGTACACAATGACAATATCCTTTTGGAACTTATTCTTCTTTACAAGTACCAACCTAAAACCTGGCGCTAGTCACATATTTTTCATTAACGAAAGTACATTTGGGTGCAGTTCTTATATTATTTGAGCTCATGTAGTTAAACAAACAATGATATTCGTTTAGGCTTTCGTCCAAGCCGACGTTACTAGAACACTCAGTTGGGAAACCCGCCGTCGAAACCTGGGCCGCTGGCGTCCACCGAGACCGAGCTAAATACGACAACAGCGCCATTATTTATCATTTGTCTGTACTGTGGTCACCTCGAGTTTTTACAAAGCATGTTTTTGCGTGAAAACAAACGGAAAAGGCTCTTTTTGTATGAAATTATTGGAGTTTAATACAAAATGAAGGGCGCGTGATGTTTTTAAAATCTTTAGTTTGCAAGCTTTTGCAGCACAATTAATATTGCTTTTATATAACCATGCCTCAGCGGTGCTTTCAGGTAGCGCGTCCCGACCTAGGTGCATTTCAACTTCGGTAGCAAGACGCGGCGCGTCCGCTGGGGAGACGGGGGTGGCACCTCTGTAACCTCTTCCGCTGTATCTGTTTCGGCGCCGAAATGGCCGATTAAAGCGAAAATTGACGTCACGTGCAGTTCCTCGAGTGGCCGCTGCGGGAGAAATGGCGGCGTTGTGTTCGCCTTTAGCTCGGTGCTCGATGACAGATCGGGGCCACTTTTTTTAGAGCAGTCTCTATGGCGGTCACCCAACTGAGTGGTTCTAGTAACGTTGGTCCAAGTTAACCAGTAAAAGTTGTGAGTTTTTATCTGGGTCTGTGAAAAATGCAGTGATCTGTTGTCGACTGAGGTTTAGTCTGGTGAGCTTCTGATCCATGACAGAAGCTCATACATGCATCCGGGGTACATTTAGCAATGTCCCTCGTAGGCCTGTATGCTGTGTATACTATTTGTACATATTCTACACCGGAAAGTTAGGTTTTATTTTAATGCCAATTTGCGTATTAACATATACTGTGTTAAAAAGAAATCGATGCTAATGTTTATAGCCATCGCGGCCGTCCAATGCTACAGTCAGAGAAGCATAACGACTATCATATTATTTTCTTTTTTTGTTAAGGGTGATCAGCTTACCCCGCTTGATTAGATTCTATTCGGATGCAGCCACCGAAACTGAACGGGTGGTGACATGGGTGACCTTGGACAAAACCAAGGAGTCCGCCGTCGAGTACGGGGTTTCGACGAGGGGCGCGAAGGCAAGCGGTTACGCCTCGAGCTTTGTCGATGGCGGCCCCAAGAAACGGAGCATGTACATCCATCGAGTCGTCATCCGGGGCCTTACGCATGGAGTTACGTACCGTAAGTAAGGGAATCTCTTGTGTACTCTTCGAGAAGTATACTGAGACTCAAATGTGCCTGAATTTTGGGCTCTCCGTAAAAATGTGGTATAGACGTTATAACAATTTACTACAGATGTTATATGCCGCGGTAGGTTATTTCGTCTAAGGATCATGCCTAGTGTTTCCGCTATTATAAACCATTTATCACAAAATTATTGACGTCGGTGTTTAGACAGCGTGCAGTCGGTGCGCTTTTGAAATATGGCGACGCTTATTCACGCTACCGACGAGGACTTCAGCCAATGGAGTACGACAAGAAATCATGGCCCTTTATAATGCACCATAAAGAAGTGATTACGCGACTACGATACCCATCTAGATAAAAATGGGTGGGGGCGGGCGTGAAGCCCCGGGTTTCCACCGCTTCGGCAAAGTGGACTTGTTTTTGAAGGCTATTTCAGCTGCACCGCGCTGATCTATCTGGTCACGGAAGCTCTAATTACCCCCCGAAATGCGGTCCACGTCGTATTAGAGCTAATCTGGAGCTAATCATGATTTACAGAACACTGAATATCGCATGACGACGCAGTATCCATCGGTGCAAAACTTAGGAGCCGAGCTGAAACCCGGGAATAAAACCCGTGAATTTGCGCTCCACCCCGGCCCTGCGTCGTCGAAAAGCAAGCATATTTGAGTTATTATTTTAGAAAACAAAAAGGTGAACTGTTTTGGGGTGGTGCTCGAAAGCACCCGATGTCGAAAACCCCGTGTCCAATGCGCCGCGGCAAACACACCTGCCTTTTTGCCCCGCTTTCTAAAGCCCCCAGTTTCAGAAGCCCATGACGCGAATCCCCCGTGTCAAGTGGCCCGGTTTTCAGCGTGATGGCGGAGCATTCTACTTTTAACTAAGAGAGAGAGTAACCCTGCACTCCAGCTTGCCTAACATAATCATGCTGTTCCCGGAACTCAAGCAACGAATAACTGGATAACGCTTCCCCTCCTTCAGGCGTACGCTGTACACATTCATGTGTTGTGACATTGGAATTTAGAACAAACAGAAAATATCAGTCAATGTCAAAATATTTATTTAAAGTCACAGATTTTGTAAGCATTGAACTAAAGCTTTTGTCAACTCTGAAGCACGCGCGAGCTCGCAGCTCCGACGAAGTTGATTCTGTCAAAACTCTAAACCTGCAGCTCATGGCGCCACGCTTATCATGTATCTATAATTAAGCACCAGTGCAGGTCGTACGTCGCTCTAAAATATATTTATTTTCATATAGGTAGATAAAGTCTATAGTTCTGCATCTTAGTATGCCCCTATGACCGCGGAGTTTATCGCTGTTTATCCAGTTTTATGCAATTGGCCACAGTACGTCATTACAAGATTTTAGCGGTTCAAGTTAACATAATATTGCTGTTTATTTAACTTAAAATAGCCTCTGTAGACCCTCAACAGTTTAGGTTAAGACATGGAAAAGTGATGGTTGAAGCGCAAAGAGGGTGCAACGGGGGCAGTGAAAACGAGACTTATGGCACAGGGGCAATACGGGACGGGGTAATTGAACGCGGGGTTTTTCGAAATGCGGGGCTAATGACGCGGGGCTTCTGCGAAAGGGATTGTGCACGCGGGGAAATCGTGCTACACCCCTGTTTTGTCTCCAAAGCGAAACTTCTTGAGTGAATATAAGATTACATTACTTTCATTGCCATCACATCAGTGTCCATTATAGTGGCTTTGCTCCAAAGGACGAAACTTCAGACAACGTTGCCTCCTTAGCAGGGATTCAAACCGAAAATAATAGCGGTGGAGTGGCGGTTACGGTTACCATTATATTTAAAAATTAGTTTTGTCTCGGTTTTTTATAATTTGCTTACCCGATAAGCGTTCTTCACCAGCTATTCTTTTGGTAAAAAAGTTGAAAATTGTATCTTAGAATATTGATTGTTATAGTTCTCTAACTTTATATCAGATTTATACCACATACTTTATACCATATACTAGATACTTTATACTAGATATTTGTATATCAATAAAAGGTATCAAGTGGCGCCGATATCAAGCAATGAGTGGGCGAGACGGACTCACAATTAAAAAAAATTTCAAGATTTCTAGTTCAGTGGAAAGTGTTCATTTCGGGCGCTAACCTGAGTGGTGATATTTGGTGCCCACCATTAAGATTTCGGACTATAATACAAAAAAGTGCCGATTTGTTCGTGTTAACATTGTCGCATAGCGTACTTGCAAGCAAAGGAGGCAGAGGAGGAGCCTGTGTGTGTTCTTGTTCGCATTCCTCTTTTTTAGCCATACCTGTAGACCCCACGGGCATTGGTTGTTTGCGCTGGTCGAACCGCATAACGTCACAATGTCAAGTCACAAGAAGTAAAAATATCACACGATCTGACATCTTACGATATCAATAACCCGGTAAATGTAGCTGGGAAATCATTGTACCGCGAGAAGTACTGTGCTACGCTATATATAGAGGTCATATTGGCTCCACAATTTCAAGTCGTGCTGTCACGTGATGCCATGACGTCAAGGGACGTCAATTTACTTGTAATATGTAGCGTAAAAATTTACGCCACGTGACACAGGTCGCATAGCGTCGTCGTGTGACGTGGTGCTTCAGTGTAATGTTTCGCGAAAGTGTGACGTGATATCAATTGCCACACTCTCAAGTGTCATGACGTTACAATCTTCCTGATAAATATAGCGGGAAATAAATCTCTGCTAAGTGGCTCTCGTTAAAGCCACTTTAAAGTGGTAGAGATACTGCATTGCGTTTCACGGAGTGTCTAAGACAGGCGACTTTTTTAGGCTATCGCTGCGGAAGTGCGGAGAGCTGGAGCCCCGAGTTCACGTTCAAGATGCCCCGAGTCGGGGACTCGCTCACATTGGCTGTGTACGGAGACCTAGGCACCGTCAACGCCCAGTCGCTTCCAGCGCTTAAGAGCGAAACCCAGGGCGGTCAACTCGATGCCGTGCTCCACTTGGGTGAGTGCCACTGGGTGCTGCTCTCCCGTGGCTTCTATTTGCCCCTCCAAGCACGTTGTCCAAGCCAGTGCTGGACTCTAAAGCCGCGGTCGGATTACTTATATAATGCCAAAACAGACTGCAGGCCAGTGTTGCGGAATCGTCACACCAAATTTATTCCAACTTTTTTTCAGGCAATGCTTAAAGTATTCTACCGGTGGCAGGGGTCTTTGTTGTGCCCCAATAAGAACTAACTGCCCCCACCCCTCCCCGGGCATAAGAACATGCACAGATGCGTTGAAACACTCACAAAGCGTTCAGCTACGTCAGCCGAGCGCTACAAAAAGCACGCCCTAATAATTCACGTTGCACCCATGGGTTTCGTCAGGGCCGGCCCTACATCATCAAGTGCCCTGGGTGAACTCCGGCCAATGCGACCCCCCCCCCCCCCCACCTTTTTTGTGTTTATACGCCCCTATCTAGTGTACTTTTTTCGCCGTTAAGCTGAGACAGCAGCCAATGCCAGAAGCACGAGAGCGCAAGGTCTCTGCTTTGAAACGTTCATCTGTAGAACGAGCACTCGCGCCAGAAATGCACGTCTCAGAGCCAGGAGCGCGGGCAAGCTCGCGCTTGAAGCTTTGGCTCTAGTCTCAGCTTAGGGGTACCCGGAGTATAGGTACGACATCACGTTTTGTAAACATATGGGTGGTGGTCCAACAAGATCGTTTTGTGTGGCGAAAACCACATTCCAAGAACACAAAAGCTAAAAACAAAATCCAAAAGGTGGGCGCGGCGGCGCCTTCCCTTCGATGGTGCACTGGGGGATCGACAATGTCGCCCAGCCCTAGGGCTGGCCCTCGGTTTAGTTTTTAACTTCTCCGCTAGGGCTGCGACGGTTGGATCAACTTCTCAAAGGGTTATAAAACCCCCGTCAGAATCCGTGGGGTGTCTGAGATCCCCGAAACCACCTTGACTTTAAGCACTGATTCGGGGAATCAAACCTTCTGATAATCCCATTCATTTCAACACATTAGAATGAAGGCCACCGGGACCATTTCCACTCCTGGAATGGAGGAGGAACATTTCCATTCAATTTTTATAGTTTCTAAACTTGAAAAAAAATGGCTTTTGACAGCTAGGATGTGTTGCCGGAAAAGTCAACATAAAGTTGATGTCATTAATTGCAGTGACTCCAAAAGTACGTCAAATGCTTCCTCAGTGCACTCATTTTACCAAGCCGAGCGATATAATTGCACAAAGCTCTTCGTGGTACTTGGCGTCACTGCAAATATCAATCGCGCAATCAAGCGTAACTAGCTCGCAGCTGTCGCCGAAAATTAGAAACACACATGTTCTGCGCAAATGGACCTTGTACACTCTCCAGATACACAATCAGCGTGTTCTTTGTTTGATAAGGCCCTAAAAATTTCTTGTTCGTGCTTAAAACAAGGATCTATCTTGCCCTAGGCTTTGAGCTCCTGTACAACACCACATCTAGTAAGCTGTTCGAAGCGACTCCGCGTACACCTATTCCAAATGTTCGTGCATTCCTGCAAGCACACAAAATGCCTGACAAAGTGCAATCGCTACGGTGCCAGTACGAGAGACTAATGGAACATATTATGGTACCTGCCATAAAACGTATACTTTTAAATTTGTTGTACAATTCTGGCGAATGGACAGTATTCAATTCAATTCTTTATTTTCACTACGCGAACATTTGAACATCTGCTGGGACAAAACCTATTCATCTAGTGGAAAGAATAAAACGGGAAGAGGACTAAACGCACACGGGCATTATCCGTCCGCTTCCCATTTTATTTTTTCCTCTAAATGAATACTTAAGCCAGCATGCTCGTTACGTATATTAAAAACTGCATGCAAATCACACATGGTTACACCAGTCGCTTTGTCGCGCCCCGCGGAGCGAGGAATGACATCCTGCTCGTGTACGTTCGCAGCTGTTCAGTTTTGTATGTTTCATAGGGGCGCGTTACTTTCATTCTCCGAGAAAGATGAGCCAGTGAAACAATCAATGCGCCAGTTACCATCGTTTTAATGATGCTCTTTTAAGGGCAACACTGACCATGCGATAGCTTTGCGCCAGCAGCCCGTAGACTCTGGCTGAATATCGACACAGTTCGTATAAGAACCGAGCTCCTTCAATTCCGGGCGATTTCCATTCCCATTCAATTCTGGCGACATTCCATTCAATTTCGTCGTCGCGAAAGTGCACCATAGTTCCCTAATCATTCCCATTCCTGGGTGCGAACACCTCAACACTGCCGCAGACACTGCCCGAGGCACTGCCCAAGGCTATCAGATTAATTAAACAAAAAAACTTTCAGTTTTTTTTTTTTATTTTGATGAAGAGGAAGACCAGCGAAGCTGTGCTCTGGTGGGACGACCTCAAGGACAACTCCTTGGACGACCTCAAGGACGGCGGCTAGAGGACGACGTCTAGGATGACCTCATGGACGACTTGTAGGACGACCTCGAGGACGACACCTCGAGGACGACGCCTAGGATGACCTCAGGGAAGACGCCTGGGACGACCTCGAGGACAACTTCTAGAACCACCCCAATTACGACTTCTCAGACGACTCCGAAAACGACGCCTAGAAGACACGTTTTCTTCGGGGGCAACTTCTAGGGGGACGCCTGGATAAATTCAGCCTTTCCGTTCTGGTGAAAACCAGAGTGAAAAGGGTGGAAAGGTTGCCGCCATCTTTGAGTGACGGCGGCGACCAGACAATCGGAATGCCAGTTGTCTGGTTACCGCCGTCGCTCATAGATGGCGGGAACTGTTCAGAGTTTTGTGTCGACATTTATTTGGTGACGGACACGAAACTGGGGAAACTAGCCCTGAACAGCTCCGCTGTAATTATCTGGAAACGTGTTCGAAGCACGCATATGCACAAAGGATACATGGTAAGAAGATGCGTGAGGCATGTCAGCAGATAATTATGGCATCATATCTACAGGAAAACCCTTCATAACCTAAATTCCGAGAGAAGGAAAAACAACAGTCAAGACGGAACTTTCCGTTTTTTGATTTCGCCTTGTCTCAAAGCATAGATTATGACGTTTCCTAACCAGCTTTCCTGAATACTTTCGCTCCTTGGAAAACCCTTCTTTTTTGTATAATGCATGAGCGGAGCGACTACAGTTGAAAGCCCCTTGACAAGTTTATGCTTTTTTGGCAAGTCGCGCCATGTGCAGAAATGAACGAGGCATCGTGTGACCTTTGCAAATTAGTGACGGCAGAGCACTAAAATTAGCAGCCCTTGGAAACAGATAACGGTGCATCACTTGCTCGCTGCACCTATCACTTTGCAGTAAATGGCGTTATAGATATGAGATATCGCGCACTTTTTGTCGAGTCTCAGGTTCGACTTCAGACCGTGAGTTTGGCGAACTTGTGGACTTTTGACGAAATTCGACGAAGTTAGTCTTCTTGACCGTTGTTGACAAACTTCAACACTAAAATGCCATAAAAAATGCAGTTAGTTATTTATTTTTAAGAACTATTTACCAATACTAATACAAACTAAAAACAAATTTATAATCTTTTAAAGGGGCTGTGCAACAATATTTGGTGGGAACGTTTCTTCCTTTACAACATCTTACTGGCGCTGGTGGTCTCTAAGAATACTCAAACGCAACGCCACTGACCAAGAAGCGTCTTCGTTGCGGTGGAATTCCAACGATTAAAGCGCACCTTTCCTTTCAGTCTCTCTTCCGTAAAACTTTATGACGGAGCTGCGGTGACAATGCAAAATTTGATAACGTAAAGTTGGGATTAAAGTACACCCAAATGGCGATATTTGAATGCGGAGATTGGGCCCAAGAATTGCGTGAGCGCTCGATTCAGGCTCGTGATAATTACTAGCTCGAGAAGCATTCGGGTAGTGGCCCGTGTCCAATCGCTGCAACGACGACTGTAGCCGAGCCATAACAATGTCTTAAACTCAGCGCGTGTCCTCTGCTTTGCCAACCCCAGCGCGCGGCTATGATCAACACTGGCGGCATATAATCGGCTCCAGATCACGTGGCCGCTTCTTCTGGCTGCGAGTTGAGGGAGTGAACGCTGCTCGTTTTTCTTTAATTTTTTTCAGGAACTCCTATTGCGTGGGGTGAAAAACGAACGCATGTTTCATAGGTCATTAACGTCAGGGAAACGTTCTAAGCGGTATTTGCGCAAAGTACAAAAATTGTTGCATCGTCCCTTTAAAGAATAAGTTTGTTTTTACTGCGAGAAACAATATATTCAATACATAAAACAGATCTCCCCCGCGGAGCGCCGTGAACGCGTCCACTTTTTTTTTTAAAATCACTAGTCAGTAAATATTTTCTTAAACATCGTGTTAAAAAAAAAAAAAAAAAAAAAACGCTTCGAGTTGGAGATTTCGTAGGCTCCCCATATTATCTCAGTGGGCAATCTCCGGAAACGTGTTTCCCCTAAAAGCTGGGATGGGAACCCATGGTTCGAAGAGCCATCTTTTCTGGACGCTGCTGCGCGCCTTGGCAATAGCAGTTCTCACCAGTTCAGAGCGCAGCCTCAGCATGTTGAAAGGTGTCGCTTCGAACGATACGTGTTAAGCTGCGGGGGTTGATGCCGGAGCTCAGCGCGCTGCAGCAGCACTAATTGCCAGTTCTCCGTCCGAGTTGATTCAGTGACGTTGCATAACAACTTCACATCATAAAAAAAACAAAAAAAAACTATGCCGTTTATGCACAGAGAGTCGCAGAAGAGGCTCTTTCTGAGAGTTATCATAACCGCTGTATTGTTGAAAGTTCATAAGCTCGAGCTTCGAGCGATTCGTCGAAATCTCCCAGGCAGCACAAAACGTCCTGAAAACGTCGAGAAATGGTCCCGAACGTCCGTGACGTCCCGCATGACTTCAATCACGTTTTTTTTATGTTGAGGTGACGTCCTTATATAACGTTCCATTAGAGTCCAATCAGTGACGTTGTGACGACGTTGTATTTCAACCAAAACGTCGTCAACGCTCCGACGACGTCGATGCACGACGTTCTCACAACGTCCAACGCTCACATTTCTTTGATGTTGAACTGAAGTTCATAAATGACGTTCCATTATCGTCCTGTCCGTGACGTGCTGGCGACGTCACGTTTCAACTTTAACGTTGTCATCGTCGCCACGACGTCAATACAAGACGTTTTAGCAACGTCGAACACTCACGTTTCTTCGAAGTTAAAATAAAGTCCAGGGTGGGACATTACATTATTGCCCCGTCAGTGACGTTTCAGCGACGTTGCGTTCACACCTAAATGTCGTAAACGTCATGCAAGACGTGCTGGCAACGTCGACCATTCACGTTTTGTTCGACGTTTTTAGATTTTCCAGCTTCATCTCCAGCCGCAGAATCACTGGTCAAGGTGGCAGTGCTCAAGAGTCGCAAACAAAACTTAATTTTTGAGAGGTTGAGAAAGTTAAATATTTATACATTAATTTACGTATTTCAAAATGCTATTAATGGCACGTTCATGACGCCAGGGAGGGAATTTACAAAACTCAATGTACACGGAAGAAAAAAAATAATATGAAAGCATGTTGGGAATATCATTCCTTTTAGATGTGATTGTTATAATTTTGGTTTGTTTAAAATATTATTACGAAGCCCATGGCGTTTAGAACGGATCGAATTGTGCCATTCTTCCAGTTCGCACGCGCGTTGTCGTCTTTCACGGGTCCTAGGCCCTGGCACGCGCCTCAGGGGTGCAGCTACACTATCCCCTCTCCAGGTGATTTCAGGCCTGCATCCTTTCCTAGGAGCATCCATACTGCTCCGCGACCTCCTGAGGTTGTTTTAATGTTCGTCAATTTCTCTTCGTATTTTGTAACCCATGCTCACCTGCGCACAACCGAAAAATTCGCATCAACATCACAGTTCATACACAACACCAACTTCCAGTGCCTTAGCGCTTTCGGTAAATCGGGGCGCAAAGTCTTGTCACGTGACTGTCAGTACAGATCTGGCTTTCGTTGCCACTGGTGACGTACCCAAACGAAAATCGCATGCCAGCACACACTATATCAGAGCACAAATTCACTCCACACTTGCGCATTTTTGGAGTTGACTAAAAAAAAATAAATAAAATGCCCGGCAATGACGAAATCCGGTAGATACTGTCAACGGTTTGTGGAAATTGATATTCATGATCAGGGTTGCCAGGTGTTTGACCTCCAACCCGCCAAACATCTGCGTGATATAGCCCAAAAATAGCCAAATGTCGATCCAGAAAAATAGCCCAAAAGTAGCCAAAAAAACTTATCATTTAAAACGTTTATTTTGAGCAGAAAAGACACATAATACATTTTTATCCATAAAATCTCCCAGAAATGGCGTCCCTTGCACGTTCGCCGAACTTCGTGAAACGCTTGTACAAGCGCATGACAACATACCTTCCACTGTAGTGGGACGACGTCACGGACGACGTCAGAAAGACAACCTAAAGAATGCGCAGAACAGGTGCTGTCACTTGTTGAGATGGAGGAAAAACAGCACATGCTTGCATTCGGAGGTAGTCAATTGCACAAGGCGCGCAAAAAGAAGAGGAATTTGTTCGCTGTCGCAAACTTACCAGGGTTAAGGGACTGAAGCGCCAAATGTTCACGTAGCCCAACCTGGCAACCCTGTTCATGATGCCAACCCCTGAATGGCTCAGATGACGGTCCAAAAAGCGTTCAAGTCCAGTCCGCACTTACTTGACAAAAAAAAAAAAGCAAAAAAAGTAAAAGGAAGAAAAGAAAACAAAAAAAAACCAGCCGGCACGGCGCGAGAGAGAGGGGGAAAGGTAGGCAGAGGAGATGCCAGTTGCATCTTCATAGAGCCCCATGCGATGCGTCGGGAAACTCGGCAAGAAGAGGGCGAAAGAAAAGGGGGGAAGATAGTGACGACGAACAATTGACAAGCGTAAGTTCCGGGTGCACGTATTAGCGAGTTTTAGTAGACCGTGTTTCCCGCTCCGCTAAGCCCCTCCGCTACCCGGAACTCTACAGCCAAGGCCATCGGCGCGCAGGCGCAGTGGCGGTTTTTTCGTAGCGGAGGGCTAGCGGAGCGGGAAACACGGTCTACTAAAACTCCCTATTTTCTCAGTCGTTCCCAAAATATTTCACTGAATTTTCTGTTCTTCGAATTGGCCCAGAGAGAACAGCTCTGGGACCCGGTCCAGCTTTTTCCGAAAGCCAGTCACTAGCACCGGCCGTCACGTCTACAGGTCTACGAGGCAGGCTGCTATGTAGCCGTGATTTTTTTTCGAGTCTGCATGCAGTGTAAGTGCTGCGATTGGATGAGTCGTTCAAGTCGCCCCTATGAAAAGTCGGTGATCGCCGAAAACGCCGTCGTATTCAGTCACGGCTCGAGGACCTTTTTAAAGGCCATAACGATTCACACGTTGAATCGTACTACTGCTCGGATCAAGGTACGTGTGAGGATATGAATGATGCCCCCCAGAAAACAAGTGGCAGTGCACATAACGGCGCGTCAAGTCCAGTCTCCGATCAAGACCCTTCAGATGCCTCCGACGATCCGAATCAAGAACTTCCAGCGGACGGGATCCCGCTTCTGAAACCATTCCCGTGCACGCAGCGAGAGTACCAGCTATGTGCGATGGGGCGGCTAAAGCACGCGCTTCAGCGCAATAATCAGAAGCAGAACGAGGTAAGCGGTGGAACATTCCGCGCTGTGTGACATCGTCTTTGCTCATTTATTTACGTGAATTTGTTTGTTCTTTTATATCTTTGAGGCTGGCACATCCAGGGACGTCTTCTGGAGGCACTCCGTATTGCATCTCTCATCTAAAAATGCTCAAATAAACAGTTCGTACCAAACCTGTGTTTTAGTTACTTCCTTCATACTTGCATGAGAGCAACTTGCCTTCGCAATAATACTGAAAAAATACTTTTTTTTTTTTTTTTTTGGGGGGGGGGGGGGGACAAAGTTTTCCCACGACGGCTAGGGAACGCAATTTGGAAAGGTTTCTCGACGTTCTGTGAACGTCGTTGGTAGTCCGGATGTCGTAAACACACGTATCATAAACGTCGAGGGAGGACGCGACGGCCCACTGAGACGTGGCGTGCAACAAACGTCATTTGGAACGTCCCCTCGACATTCTGTGCACCTTTTCTCGCGGACATTTAAAGGTTTCATCGACGTCGAAGGAAGGTAACGTCCGGACTTTCGACGTTTTACGACGTCACGTTACAGACGTCTTCGACGGTCTTTCGACGTGTTCTTCACGTTTATGTGCTGCTTGGGCTACGTCTTTCAGAAGTGTGCAACATAAAATTACTCCTATGCCAATTACTCGATTTGGTTTGGGCCCGTATTCTGAGCACCTATACATGGCTTTCACTGACGTTACATCGCATACTTTTGACCACCATGTAAGAGGGAGAGAGGGAAGCTGGCTTTTGTAAGATTTTTGAGTGACGGGTTAGTCTTCTTTAATCGTCCGGGAGAAGAATAGCGACGTCTTTGCAAATCCGGGAGGCACAAAAGGGAATTCTGGTAAGAGGGGAGCGCCGTCTGCCCCTTTTCTCTGGTAATAATCGGAGCGCTCCTTGAATGACGTCACATACAAGTCATGTATAGGTCAGTGTTCGGCGAGGACTCCGATCTACTCCCATGCCTCGTGCGCTAGGAATGGCGACCACCAATGCTGTCTGATTTGCTTTTGAAAAGTTTCTATTGTCTACTATGGGAAAGCATATACTGGTAGAAAGCGATATGCTAAAGGAGGTTCACTAGTTCGATGCTTCTAATAATCAAAAAACTGAATTGAGGTGTGTTTTAGTTTGAACATTTGAAGCACACGTAGTTCATACCCATAGTGAATCTTTCCTTTCAGTGGTCAACCTGCACGCGTTCATGAAATCTCCTTTTACCATTAGCATAGTCTGATTGCTGAGGCTCATAGATAAGAAACATATTTTTATTTACTTTACCTAAGCCTTAATGTACTTAGTATGTTTTTCCAGCTATAAATTATGTTTATTAAAAAGTGCTCAATTAGTGTACTTTTTCTGTGAGCTCAAATTGGTTTAATTCACTTTCCAATTTCTGCCTAGACACTTTGCGGGAATTATATTTGCATGAAAGAATGCTGTCTTCAAATATAGTTTGATTTGTTCGGAAGAATCTAAAATTTCGGTCGGGTTATTTCAGTTTTCACTATTGTATGTCTGCAATAATTATTTATTTGTCCGATTTTCAGGTGACTTCGCTTATGACCTGGATTCCGTACGTACATTATGGAAGTTTTTTTCTCTACTTCTGCGATTGAAGACTTCCGAGATTGAAAATAATGTTCCCGCTTAACTGGGACATCTTTGGTGCTTAGCTTATAAACGTTTCCAAACTGGAGATGGCCGAACCAGTGTTATGTTGAGCACGTGACGCATTACGCGCCACATGATGACAATGTCATTAAGTCTATAGTCAACACCGGCTGAAGGATCACTCAGGTAGATTCTGAGATCGGCTGTTTATAGTGATAACTCAATCTAAGCGATCTAAGCATCCTAAAACAATTCGTAATTACACTCACGGGCGACGGATTTTCGTATTAAAATCTAATCAAAGATTGTGACACGCCCTTTTTTCTGCGCCTTGGAGCATACACCAGGGGGCGCAATCAGACAGCGTTTTTAAACAGCAATTACGGTATTACGTCTCCTACGACCAAACATTTCAAGTCTATGTCTATATGTAATACACAACGCTCTTAAAAAGTCTAATATTAGTAACGTTCAAAATCTCCACACAAATGCCTATTTTCTATCGTTAAGGTCTATGGAGGTGGCGGGGACCCCAGTGCGGCCTGCTTTAGAGAAAATAGTGCCTGCTTATTTTTACTGCTGTGAGTTTCCTAGGATGTCTTGCAATCTAGAACAGGTAATTTTATTAACTAAAGCGAAATAAACAATACGCCATAAAATACCATTCTATTAAAAGCACTTCAGCTTAGAAACCTCAGCTTGGTGAGTCTTGAGCCTCTTCTTACCTCTCCGCAGCCAATGATACTGCTGCAGTAGCCGAAACTGATCCATTAGCTTATTTGGGGTGAATAGTAAATCATAAAATTGAAGCAAAGCACAAGGAGGGTGGAAACCCGAAGGTTTTATTCTGAAGAGCGGCGCTTTTCGACCGCCGACGCCGGTCAGAAGCTGGTCACGAGCTGCCAGGTCACGAGCCTCGGCGCAAGGCATGCGCTTCTGGGCTCGTCAGTCTCACGCGCGGAGCGCGTGGATGTCCGAGTACACAACATCTCTTTCCCCCTAAAAATGCAAGCGATCCGGCGGCTGTCGCTTTCGCCTTGACCGTCTGGGCAACACAGGGTCTGCCAGCTCTGTTTCGGACCTCTCAGGGGAATCGCCGGCGCTGTCTTCCGCTACAGGCTGCGTAGGTAAGACAGGTTCCGTTGCTGGGTCCGCTTCTGATCTGTCACCGGAGCTGCCGGCACTGTCCTCCGTTGTTGCCTGCCTCGCCAGCTTGTCATCCGCCGTTGGGCCGTCGGTCTGTTGCGCGTGGCTGTCCTCTAGCTGCGTTCGCAGCGTCTCTTCCGCGTCTCGCTGTCGCAGCTGGTCCACGTGCCGCCGCTGTTGTCCATCTGGCGTGTTCAGCGTGACCATCCGCCTCCCTTGCGTGGATGTTACCGTTCCCGGTAGCCACCTTGGACCCCGTCGATACTGGCGTGACCAGAAGTGCGTTCCCGGATCAGGTAGCGGTGATTTGGTGATTGAGGACGATGGGAAAGTCACGGCGTGCTCTGGTTCTTGACGGCTTGGGAAGAAGCTGGTTAGTCTCGTCCTCGGTTGGTAGCAAGCAACAACTCAGACGGCGATTTGCCGTCCTTGACAGGAGTGCACCGGTAACGAAGTAAAAACTTGGAAATCCGGTTTTGTAGAGTGTCGCCTTCGTTTTTCTTTAGGCCTTCTTTAAGAGTGCGAACAGCCCGCTCGGCTAACCCATTCGACTGCGGGTGATATGGTGCGGTTGTCAGATGACACGCGTGGTTTTCTTTCAAAAATCGTGCCATCGCCGCGCTTGAAAACTGCGGGCCATTGTCCGATACCAGTGTTTCAGGGAGGCCGAAGTGAACGAAGATTCCTCTAAGGACATCAGTGGTTGTGTCCGCTGTTGCCGTCTTCATTGGGACAGCCTCAATCCATTTGGTGTCCGAATCAATCAGGACAAAAACCATGTGACCGTCCATAGGACCGGCGAAATCCATGTGCAGACGGCACCAGCGTTTGTTAGTTTCTGGCCACTTTGATGGAGCCTGAGCCGCGGGCATCGGCCAGCACTGCACGCACTGCGGGCAGTTCTTTGCAAGTCTCTCAATTTCTTGGTCTAAGCCCGGGTACCAAAAAACTGTCCGGGCGAGACTCTTCATTGCCAAGATTCCGGGATGGGTATCGTGTAGCTCCTTCAGCAGGCACGCTCTCGCAGTTGCCGGGAGAATCCCTCGATGACCCCAGTAGATCAGATCGTGGCACACAATGAGTTCATGCCTTCGGACAAAGTACGGCTGGAAGGTCTGCTGATCCGTGCGCAAATGTGGTGGCCACCCGCCTTGAACCCATCTCTTTACTTGCCGGATGATCTTGTCCTCGATGGTCAGGGCCGCCAACTGCTGTGCAGAAAAAGTTCGGTCGTCTAAGTGCTGACTGTACAGCACGTACTCCATAAGCTCGCTATTGCTGCCATCCCCTTGTTCCGTCAAAGGCAAGTGACTAAGGGCGTTGGCTATACCATTCTGCTGCCCCTTCCGGTACTCGATGTCGTACTGGTACGCTGAGAGAAGCAATGCCCACCGTTGAATTCTGGCCGCCGCCATTTGGGGCATCGGCCGCTCCGGATGAAACAGTGCCGTTAGTGGCTTGCGATCGGTCACCAGTGTGAAGCGGTTTCTGAAAAGATAATCCCGAAACTTTAAAACTCCGAAGACCCAGGCCAGTGCCTCCTTTTCGAGTTGAGAATAATTGCGTTCCGCTGATATCAGTATCCTTGAAGGGAACGCTATCGGGAAATCCCTTCCGTTTATGCGATGTGACAGCACCGCGCCGAGTCCGTCCGGTGATGCATCACATTCTAGCCGCAACTGCTTCCTGGGATCGTAATGGACCAGAAAATTTGCGTCAGCCATAGAGCGCTTCGCCTCTTGGAAGGCCCTCTCCTGGTCTTGTCCCCGCCCCCATGATGCACCTTTTGCCAACAGCCGATATAGCGGAGCCAAGGCCGTTGCCAGGTTGGGTAAACATTTTGCATAATACGTGACTAACCCCAGGAAGGATTTCAGCTGGCTTACCGATGTCGGTCTCGGCGCTGCTGCCACTGCCTCGAGGTTGTCTCGCTGAAGGTGCAGACCCAGGGCGTCAATCTTGTGTCCCAAAAACGACACTTGCTTCTCTCGGAACTTGCATTTGGCTTGGTTCAACTTAAGGCCGCTGTCCCGTAGCCGCTGAAACACCTGTCGGAGTGCCGATGTATCGTTCTCTTTTTCTGCGACGATGATGTCATCCAGATATACTTTAACACGTGGGAGGTCGTGCAGAAGTGACTCGATACGGTGTTGAAATAGGGAACGCGACAGAACAGCCCACGACAAAACAGCACGCGACAAAACAGCACGGTCAAAACAGCACGCGTCAAAACAGCACAGCGTCATAACAGCACGGCGACAAAACAGCACGCGTCAAAATAGCACGCGACAAAACAGCACGGCGCCAGAACGGCACAGCGACAGAAGAGCACGTGCCAAAACAGCACGGCGTCAAAACAGCACGACGTCAAAGCAGCACGCATGTAAAAAGGCTGTCATAGGTAGCGTTATATGAAAACAAAACAGAACGCAAAGAAAAAGAGTTGGACATTGCGTGGCATTATTTAGCAGCTAGTGGAGAAACAATAAAAAAAAAAGTACGCTGGCGGCGACGGCATCGCACTCAAGTCAGTGTCCCGAGTGCTGCTGCTGTGTGATTGCTAAAACAAAAAAGGTAGCAGTAGTTACTACTACTTAACGACGAAGGGCCTTGATCGAGTGGAAGCCGGTGAAGCAGTAAAATGCCGCAGCCTCAATGCTCTGGCCTTACACTGCAGCATGGGCTGAACACACCGTTGCCGCGCACGCTTTCTGTTTTTCCTTTTAACAAATAACGACAGCACATTGCCGTGCGATTGAATTATTTATTGTAGGCGATATCACCAGCAAACTTGCGCGTTAAAACGAGCAAAAATGCTCGAAAAAATTGCGGTGGCTTAGCTCGGCTATGCCAGGATATACGTAGTGTGACCTTATGCGCAGAAAATGAGACGCGCTATCAACCGGCTTCGGTGCAGCGTCAGACTTGGCTACTGCGCAACGGAGGCGCACAGCTGGGCACGCGGTGGCGCCAGTGCGTCTGCCGCGGCTATGACGTCACTCCTCTGGAATGCGCAAACCGGCGAGGTGGGCACGGCGGCTCCGGCGCGCCAGCTGTGCACCGTGTGACGTCCCTGCTCCTCACGCATGCGCAGCACGGAGCACGGCTCATTATGCGAGCCACGCGAAACTTCTCAACCTCGGCCAGTGCAGCTCACGCTACAAACTAGCCAGAATAAGCACCAGCGGGGGCTTCGGTACTGCCCAGGGAACCCTCATGCGCGCATCGAGTATTCTCCCCTTTCCGAACTTGCTTCCAAAAGAACAGATTCGAAAAATTGGCCGTCGACGAGTTGGCTTTCAACGAATTGGCCTAGAACCTCAATTCCTTTACAATGCCTTATTTGAGACATGCATTTTTTAACTTCAAAAGCTATGTTTGGGGTTCAGAGTTTTCGGGTTAAACCGAATATAACCGGTAAAAGTACGCCGAATTCATTTGTCCAAATTCGGTCCTAACTGAAAACGTTCAGTATTTTCGAGGGTGTTTGGAGTGGTGTGTGTGTGTTGGGGGAGGGGGGGAGGCGGGAGAATGTGACTCATACCTAGGGTTTGGTGTTACCCGCCGGTAAAAGTTTCGTCTATTCCGATTTATCCGATAAACTCTGAATTTCGATGTGCCAATCCCCCCCCCCCCCCCCCCCCCCACATACACGCATATATATTTTACAATTAATGGTTTAATCAGCGCATAGAGTAAATGGTCCTGGGAAAATGCCACCACACATATCCTTCCAATTTCGGTCAGAACAACAGGTCACTGTGCTATCGGGTCAAGACAAAAGTCACTGTTTATGTTTCCGGTTTGGGTCATACTATTTGTGCCTGAGAGGAAGGAGAGGTTGTGTTTCTGTAACCGTGAAAGCTATAGACCATAGAAATTACATAAAGTGGGGAAGAGAACAGTTGAAACTTCTCTATTTCATCCTTTTCCACTCTGCCTCTCGCGGCCGCGAGTTAGGTTGATGGAATAGCATGGAATGAATACAGGCTTCCCAGCAACTACCTCCAGTAGGATATTGATTTTAAGGTATCGACCTTTATCGAAATAACACTTGTGTGCCACTTTTGTTCTAGGACAAATTAGTATTGCCAGTAGTAATGGCACCAACGCCAAATCCATGTGAAGAAAATATTAATTGATACAATCGCGTTTTTTTTTCTTTTTTGTCCAGCATGCGTTTACATTTGGATATTATTTGTTTATTTTTAATAAAAAAAAAAACACTGCGCAATTGAGCTCCGAATTTCAGAGAATTCGGAATCAAACAAAAAGAAACTCCGATAAACTACGAATTTTTGGCAAAAAATAAGCTCAGAAGAACACCCTCCGAACTTGACGAAAACTAAACTCCGAAAACACGGAACCCTACTCGTTACTGTCCTTATTACCACTTCCTTTCGAAGTTTTCAGCTTGTCTGCGAGATCGGTTCAACTTTCAACCGGGGGCGCAGGGGTCTTCAGGAAGAAATCTGGTTTTTCACCTGATAGGTATTTGTACCGAAGTTTTTGTTAAAAGAAGAGAGTTTAGTCGTGAAATCAAACAACGGAAATCAAGAGCGTCCGTAAATGCCGCGCATTGTTTAACACCCCTAGCTTCCGTCTACTAGAGGAGGGCATAAATACGAGTGTTTTAATGTCATTCTCGCCGTCGGCGCGAATTTATCACCTCTCGCAGTCGTGAAAATGGGGGAAAGCGCATTGAGTACAATGCTTGCTAATTTCTCCATCTTGATATTTGCCTCTCCGACCGAAGTGGTACTGGATGTCATGCTCGTCCTGCGTACAAATACGATCACACGACAATAATTTCAGTTCACGATAAGGCCCCAGTGCGTGTTACAGAACTGGTCGCGTCGGCTGCTAAAGACGGCAACAAATAAGAAGACCAGTACCTGGTACTCAATATACATTTTACACAAACGCTTTTAATTATTGCATTTTCGTTAGTATACTGTTTTTTGTCAATAAACCTAATATAACTGAGAAGTTTATGAGTCTACAAATATTCACCGCAATAAACCGAAAACTTTTGTTTGGAATAAAAACCAAAAAAAAAATGCGCGGAATTTCAAATAATAAAAACCGAAAACGCCGAACCCTAGCTATATTGTCAATGTCATGTTTTGACGCTGTGCTATTTTGTCGCTGTGCTGTTTTGACGTCGTGCTGTTTTGACGCAGTGCTGTTTTGACGCAGTGCTGTTTTGGCACGTGCCCTTCTGTCGCTGTGCCGTTTTGACGCTGTGCTGTTTTGTCGCGTGCTATTTTGACGCGTGCTGTTTTGTCGCCGTGCTGTTTTGACGCTGTGCTGTTTTGACGCGTGCTGTTTTGACCGTGCTGTTTTGTCGCGTGCTGTTATGTCGTGTGCTGTTCTGTCATGGTGCCGTTGAAATAGGGCTGGGGCGGACGCGATGCCGAAAGCCAAACGGTTGTAGCGGTACAAGCCTTTGTGCGTGTTTAACACAGCCATCTTACGAGCCTCCTCGTCGAGGGGAAGCTGATTGTACGCATTGCGTAAATCGAGCGAGCTGAATACCTCTCCACCGTACAGTGATGCAAATATGTCGTCAATTTTCGGCAGTGGATACTGCTCCAGGTGCGTAGCAGGGTTGACCGTTAGCTTGAAATCGCCACACAGCCTTATATCACCGTTCTTCTTCGCCACCGGCACAGCTGGTGTAGCCCACTCTGAAATACGGATCGGGGAGAGCACCCCATCTGCCACTAGACGGTTGATTTCTGCCGTCACTTTTTCACGAAGTGCGTATGGCACCGGACGCGCCTTGCAGAAGCGGGGGAGAGCACCTTCCGTCTTATGTAGGCTCACGGGTGGGCCTTCTCAGCAGCCCAACTTTTTTTCGAAGAAGTCAGCAAATTCCTCCAGCATTCTTTGCACCGGGGCGTCTCCGCGCAGCACGTTCACATGAAAGGGCATTTTCACTTTTAGCAAGGACGAACCAACGTCTTCGAACGCTTGAATCGTGTTTCGGCAACACAGTAAGGGTCCTTCGCAATCTACAACGACCAGAACGCTCCTCACTAGTGCTTTCTCGTGCTGGACCCTCATGGAAATTCTACCGAGCACCGGCAGAGGCCCTAGGAAGCACGACAAGCGAAGGGGAGTCTTTTCCAACGCAGGCCACCACTTGCGATGTCTCTTGAAAACGCTCTTGGGTATCATGCTCACTGGTGATCCCGTATCCACAAGCATTCGCAGCTTCCGGTCTTCCCACAGTAAGTCTTGTTCGATCGGTCTCATGATGTCTCGGTTAGACGAACTGTGAGCGACCAAGGCGTGGAGCATCTCTTCCTCGCCGTCTTCGTCGTTATCTGAATCTTTCAGCGCGTACGCTCCTTGCCGAGTAGCGCGACCCGACGAACATACCCTCGCCAAGTGCCCCTTCTTGCCACACTTGTGACACACAGAGCTGCGGTTTCGGCACTCGTCCGTCGCATGATGTGCGTCGCATCTCCAACACAACGTGCGTGGACTGACTGTGCCGCCGCTGGTACCGTGTCCGCTAGGACGCCGATTGCCCCGTCGATTTTGAACAAAATGCACACCGCCCGCTCCGTCCCCGGAATCGGTCTTCCGCATTGCCCGGGCGTTCTCGGCGGCTGTCTCCGATGACATTGCAAATTCTTCCGCCTCTTCCAGGTTCAATTTCTTACGCGTGAGTAAGAAACGTCGTGCCTCGTCAGTCAGGAACATAATAGAATCAGGAACATAATAGAATGCGCGTTACCTTTCCTAAGTTGTCAGTGAATGTGTAGAAATCTCTACGAACGGCCATCCTGAAGGTATATTGTGACACTATTTGCTAGTCCTACCCATACCTCTGTTTCACATTTCCGGCACCACGTCGCTCAAGTCTTCGCACGAATATGTACGTTCCAAGTGAATTCCAGCCAATCAGGACTGTTCTTTTGTGTAGGCGACGAGTCGGAGCTAGTTTTAAGCATGGGCTGAGAAGCATTAACAACAATATGGCTCCCGGTAATAACCCTTAAGCTGAAGTCGGCGATGTGACGCTGGGCATACCTAAGCAAGTGGATGATATCCTCAGCAATATAATTCCAAGCGTCATTTATTGTTCATTATGTGCTCATGAAACCGTTCTTCAGCGAGCGACCTTTGTGGATAACAGCGACTGGTTCACCAAGCATTTCCCGGAAGTGGAGGCTGAATTGGACTTTCTAAGTTTTGCAGAGCCAAAAGAAGAGTCCCACATCCGAAGCACGCATTTGCGGGAATGGTGCGCATGACGCAGGGGTTCCATTCTGGGGCACTCCTCGCATATTACGTTTTGCTGTGAAAAAGTTTGTTTCATAAGGAGAATTCACTCGCATATTTCCCCTTGTGAGCATATCTCTTTCGCGATTCATTTTTCGGCATGCTGATTGGCTAATGGCAGAATTTCATTGACAGGATTGCGATAAGATTCTGGGGTCTCAGAACAAGTTGTGTTTCTTAGGATGTTAATCACAAAAAGATAAATTTCGCAAAACCCAACAAAAAATTGCGCTAGAAGCGCGCAGTGAATAATAAAAACTTCCTGTATGTTCCAACCTGTAGTGTTTACCACGTGACACTTAAGAGAGCGAAGGAAAAGGGGTAGAGGGTAGCGTAGTTGCTCGTCTGCCCTCGCCCGCTTGACTGCGTTACCTCCGTCGCAACCAGGATCGCCTTTTTTCGTCTGGTGCAAACGGGCTTATACAGCCAGTTCCCGGAACACATTTCGGCGCCGCACAAAGTGCTGCACACATCAAAAATTGTTCACCGACGTGAGTACAGTAAACATCTGTTAAAATGATCAAGGCCTGTGCAATAGAAATTTGGAGTCATCCCAGTGTAGATCGAGTGAAGAAAGATTAGACCCGAACGCTGCGTCGACCTTCGGCTTTGACTCGTGTCCAATCAAACGCTTTGAAAGACGCTCGGCATCAGGCTCGGGTTTAATTTTTTTTATTTACATGGAAACTTGCACCGCTGTTTTGGCACTATTGCAGGGTACTTTGTGTACAGAACTTCCTCGTTACTCTAACACAAAGAATGGCGCAAACTCATTGCCGAGTTGGTGCCAATTCACTGGGATGACGGTTCGCGATGGAAGAGGGCAATGCAGCAGGGTTGAAAGATGGGCTACATGGTACTGATTCATCTTAAAAGAAGAAGCGCACAAAAAACAAGAACAAAAAAGAAGGCACGTGCGACAGACAAGCGCTCACTCACAACTGGAAGTTTAATACGGCTGTAGCCCTATTAAACTTCCAGTTGTGAGTGAGCGCTTCTCTTTCGTACGTGTCATGTATTTCGTCCTGGTTTTTGTGCTCTTCTTATTTTATGATGAAGCGGACGATGCTCTCCGGCCTTGATTGTTCGAGGTGATGTTGGTACACTTGGCAAACTTCACACGGAGAGCGTTGAATTGTGTCGGCCATGGTGCTTTTCTTTTTGCAGAACGACGGGTACGTCGGAGATGCATTCATGCGTCAAATCGAACCCATCTCTGCCTATGTGCCCTATATGACTGCTGTTGGAAATCACGAAAGGAAATAGTGAGTACGAATATTCTAGGCAGAAACACTGCAAGTTCGGCGGACAGTCCAAGCACACAAAAGTCTCACCAGCCACTCGCCGCACTCATTCAATCTAAATGAGTGTCAAGTAGTGCTCACACTCTCCATCTTTGTCTTCCCAGTCTATTCAGTTAAAAAGGATACGATTGGAAAACTTATGCTAAACAAATCGTTCTAACTGCACCTTTTTAGACAATGTAATAGGCTTCCCGCCCGCGTCCCCCAAAGAAGAAAACCTAACCTATTGTGAAGAAAGGTAAAAAACACAGGCGAGCTGGTGAATGGTATCCATAATAAACCTGAGACGAAGGAAAAATAAAAAAACGGACAGTACAACGAAGACTTCGTTGTACTGTCCGTTTTTTTATTTTTCCTTCGTCTCAGGTTTATTATGGCTAACCTATTGTGGTTTTCATTTGCCGCAAAAATGAAGTAAGATTTGCCTAACACTCATTCTCAGCCCTAATGTAGCGATAGAAAAATGGCAGAGTTTAAGAACTAAATTTAATCTAATTAAAAAATAATATGTAATTTTTTTTTAAAGCTCAATGTGCAAATTTATCCCGTTCTTTTTAGTTTGCTCTATTCAGTTCGATGTATTCGTTCGCGTCGTCGGCCACCCTTTTTGCAATCTAAAATTTTTGAGAATCGCTTCTAAATTTTGAACAAAAAAACGGTTCGCTCTAAAGTATTGGCATCCGGTTCGGACCCCTAGAGCCCCATTCCGCACAAAACTGAGCGTTCGGGAATAAGTATATACGTTAAAAAGACAAAACTATATTAAAAAAAAAAAAAACTAGCTTGTTGAGGCAAAAACCATGCAGATCATTTCCACGATCTTGTAACATACTTATTACAACCTCATAATTTACAAAAAGAAAGAGCGTTGAAAAAGTGCCAAATACGTACATACATATCAGCCACAAAAACTAGCTTTAATAATATGAAAAATTGACTCGAGCGGCCACTGAAATTGAATACTCAGTTTAACAGATCGCCGTTCTTTAAAAACACAACATTTGGGACGTTTTTGCCACTTTCACGTAAACACTCTTCATACCATGGTTTTACTTGAGTCCTGTTTTTTTTTTGTGACGAATAATAGCTCGCTTTGTTTTCAATCCCGAAGCAACTACTCCCACTACGCCAGCCGTTTCACGATGTTGCAGCAATCTGGAAAAATCAACAATTTCTTTTACAGGTGAGTGACTCGACTTGTGTTTGTCTTGTTAGTAAAATTAACGCATGTTTAAGGTATGGCACCACCAAGGTGAAGGCATTTGGTAAGAAAGGTCAAGAAAAAATAGCGAGCCAGGTGTCAAGAGAAAAAACAAGAAGAACAATCAATTTGTAGCAAATGAAATGACAAGAACAGGAGAAAAACAAACGTCCAAGTAAGGACTGCTTTTCTCTACTCATTGTATTCCCACAACACTGAGTAAAAACCTCAATACAAAAATTAAAAAGAAATTTACAGAAATTAGTTTCTACATTTTTAACATTTTGATACTTTTCTATAAGTTTATATTTATTATCTAACACACTCTTCAGCCGATAATATCATGCCATGATAATTATTTTTAGTTGCAATAGCCTTGATTTAGAAATTAATTTTTGTCGTAATTGAAATATCTTTATATATGCTTCAAATAATTGGTACATACTCTGAAGAACTCGGTACCGCTGTTATTTTAGTCTGGAATCCAGCAGAGTATTCAATAATTGCCCATGATTTTTTTAATACAAAAAATAAATTCAACGCAAAAATAAACATACGCAAGACGGGATATCTATTACTAAAATTATGCATTTTGATATTGATTCTGAGTACGTGGTCCATTGGTGGTTTAACCTAACTGGCCAAAGTCGCAAGCCAAGCACTGCTATATTAAGTTTCTATTTACGTTTTCTTTTTATGGTGCGTAATAGACGAAGAATAATTTTATTGTACCTTCGTTTATGGCTTTAATGAACTTTTTCTGTTTCGAACATTCCATTTTGTATGTTCCTTAAAATAATATTTAAAAAATACCGTTTCGCATTAAGTAAAGTTGTCAGCGTTTTTGTGATATCGGTGACATCCGGTAATATATATTCTCGTCTGCGAGCATAAAGAGGTAAAAAAAATGATTTAGTTTAGTTCTTTATTGACTAAACGTGACTGCAATTGCAAACAAACCATTTCTTTAATGTTTATTGTAGTTCGCTTTCATATTTAGTCGTTGTTATTTATTTTAAACTGGCTTACACGAATAAATTATTCGGGTGAAACGTTTTGTCGGCAAGTCATCAAATATTTCAGTTTCCCTTTCGTTCAGATCTCCACTAAGATTTGCAACCACCGCGTATTCACAAATGAAACCTTCAGCAGTTCTTTTTTCAACGGAGGAGGTGAACACTGTTTTTTTTCTCGAAGTTTCGGAATAGTATATATGGTGTAGATTCAGCGCAGTAAACCTATCATACTTAAAACATTACTTTTGAAAAAAGTGTACCATTCGTTCTGCTATGTGATCCCATGAGTTTTTCTGAAGGCGTTGTCAACTAATCAACAAACAAAAATGGATAAAAGTAAAGGGAAAAAATGGCGAATACAAGACAAACAAAAATGTTTTGTCTTGTCTTCATTCTTTTTGCCGCAGAATTTTTATTCCTGCAACTTACCAGCATGCTCTAATTTGTCGACACAAATAACAATATTCCTATATCCCCTTTAAGAACCGTCTCCCTAAACAGCAGACAGCAAAATCAGTTTACCGACGCTGAGAAGTAAGAGTCGGTAAGCCTGTCCAAGCATAGCATGTGTTTCTAGAAGGCAAGATGCCAGGCTGCTTTGTAATAAGTCGTCTGTTGTTTACGTTGTAGAAGGGCAGTAAACAGAGGGAAAAAAACGGTAAAAAAATGATGCACATGTACAAGAAGGGCGATCACCAGAAAGCGCGCAGTTCACTAACTTGCCACGCGTTTTTCAGCACTGCTATTTCTTACGATCATTTACCAACTAAGCCCGGAAAAATATCTTTTTAGAGTAGAAGATAAATTTAACCAGTCCTGGGCCACGCATCACGCAGTCGTTACCCAAAAGTCGCAGTCCTATTCAACGTTCTTCCAAATCGAACCACGTAGAAGGAAGACTTGCTTTCCCTCAATACTTAAAGCAGTGTCTGCAAAATTTAAACTCCGGGCGCATACTAATAATGCGATGCCGTCATGAGGAGCGTGTGATGCTATAAGATTATTCTTTATTTTACTCAACCGAGACCGGTTGTTATGTGATGGCGTTTTCCAGGAGCAGATTTCTACACCTTCACCTTCAAGACGGAGTCACACTGTGCGTACGTCATACAAAGGACACAGTGTTTGTGGCTGGCATGATGGGGGTTTGGTTCCCACATATTGTCACGAATGAAATGGTGACGAAACAAAGATTAACTGAGGAAACTGAAATGTTTAATGGGGCGAACTTGTGCCCAAAACAAAAAGGGAACAAAAGATTACAGCAGAGCTTAGCGGGCATCGAAGTCGGCGTAACAGCAGGATCGAACGCTGGGGCGAGACTGCCTGCGGCTTTCCAAGCGCAGTTCCTTTTGTAGCCGCGTGGGTCTCTGGAACATTCGCTATAGAACGTTCTGCGTGTAGAACATTCGTAACTCGATCAGACAAGAAAGTTCTCGAATTTACGAGAATGTCAAGTAGAAAAAATAATTAAAAGTGCTTTCCGCTGCCTGGAATCGAACCCAGATCTCCCGCGCGAAAGCGAAGCACGGTAACCATTCGGTCACGCACGCGCTCGCTCAGCGACGCGCGCGGCAATATGCATGCTTTGATTGTCTCTGAAATTAGGCCTATCCAACCATCCTAAAATAAACGGGCCTCACTGGATAATAGATTACGACCGTTTATGCCGTTTTAGTGTCATCTTAGTTTCCAAGTAGAATACCAGGTGGGACCAAATCCGACGTAAATTTGTGCAGCTTTTTTTACTCCAATTGCAAACTATTAACTCTAAGAAAAAAGATGGTCTCACAGGACTAACGGCAGCATTTGGTCCGCTGAACTCCCATTTGCTCCCCGAAGAGACCATCTGGTTCGAGCAAGGTACCGTGCGCGAATGCTGGGAACTAACTGCACTAGACCAGGACTAACCGAAAGGCGCGTGGGCGCAAAAGCAGCCGCGGGTGCAAAAGCGCAGGAGCAAAAGCAGCGAAAGGCGCGGGGGAGCAAGAACGCGGGAGCAAAATACGTGCGGACAAGATGGCGGCGTCTGCTTCATCGCCGATGGCCAGCCTTAGCGAGACACTTATTGTTTCGGAACGCAGGGGGAGGTATCCACGGACAGTCGTAGCATCACAAATTGCAAGAGGGGGAATGTTTAAAGGGACACTGACAGGGTATTTATGCTCGCCGAGGTTTTTAGTTGTACGTGACATATGAGAGCTCAACTACCCAGAACAGAATTTGCGGCTCGAAATTCGGTTTCTTTCCGCCCGAAAACCGCCGATCAAGAACTGGCCGGTTCGAGTCTCGCTCACTCTCTTTTCCGCGGTCACGGGCCGTTTTCTAAGGTATCGATGCGACCACCAAATTTAATCAAAGTCGTGGGTCACTGAACGCACACACTCAATATTAAAAATAGAAAAAAATATAAAACCCATTTTTTGTGGCTTCTAAAAAGCTGTAAATACCTTGATTGAAAAAAAAAGTTCCACAGACAACCGGAACCATTCTGTGCGTTCGTCGTTTCGCGTATCGTGGGACTCGCGGAGACGGCGATGGCAGCGGACGACGGGCGTGGGACCTCTATTTCAGAACTCGTTCGCGGTACCGGCGAATTCTGTCTACCGTTAAAAGAGAAATTTGGGACTGATCAAAAGAATTGGTATTCATCCCGTACGACACGCCCGGCCACCAAGCCGATTTGCACGAAGACGTCGCCAAGCCGTCGCTCCCTTCTCGTGGCTGAAGACATCGCTCGCGCAAACGTCAAGCACGACGTGTCTACTTCGAGTTGAATACGCACGCGTACGATTTCTTTACTAGGTGCGAATGTCCCCAAAGCGTGATGTTTCCCGACCTCGACCCGGGAGTGCTTTTGCTAGAGAAAAATCGACAGCAAACTTTCCAACTTAGTTTGCCGGCTGAATTGTTACTCAGGAAAGAGATCCAGAGAGTAGTGATGCCCCAGTAGCTCAATGGGAAAGACGTCCGGTTCAGACACACCCCCCTTCCCCTAGTCCCACTGAAAATGCATCGCACAAAATACGCGGTCTACGCTGCAAACATGGTGGCAGAATTATCTCCGTACACACTTCAAGCATCTTTGCAGCTTGTTTGCTTCATACATGCCTCGGACAATATCTTCACACTGTCTCCTGTATGGTGCATTGGCATTCTCACCGCGACCTCAGGGTGCGCCCAACACGAGCAAGGGTTCGATCCCCCGTGAAACTTTATTTTTTTTAGAGCGCAGCTCTTAGGTGCCCGTTCCCGGCTTGAGCGGCGTCGCCGTCGCCGTCGCCGTCGCCGTCGGCGTAACCAAGGTCATCCCAAGGTCACGTGACCCCCAAGGTCACGTGACCCCTCCAGGTCACGTGACCCCTCCCAAGGTCATCTCAAGGTCACGTGACCCCACGTGACTCCCAAGGTCACGTGACCCCTCGAGGTCACGTGACCCCTCCCAAGGTCATCTCAAGGTCACGTGACCCCACGTGACCCTTTGAAGCTCACGTGACCCCTCTGAGGTCACGTGACCCCCGAGGTCACGTGGTCTCCTCCCCAAGGTCATCTCAAGGTCACGTGACCCCAAGGTGACCCCCACGTGACCCCCAGGTCACGTGACCCCTCTGAGGTCACGTGACCCCTCTGAGGTCACGTGACCCCCGAGGTCACGTGACCCCCCTCCCCGAAGTCACGTGACCCCCCCCCCCCCCCCGAGGTCACGTGACCGCCCCCCCGGAGCATATTAAAGAATGAGGGGAGGAGGAGGGGTCTACCCTCCCCTCAGTACCCTTCACTCCTCCTCCTCAAGAGCTGCGCTCCAATTCGGCGTTACAGCGATTTGTAAACGGCTTTCACTTTTTTTTTCAAACATTTTCCGATGTTTACATATCTTTTTTTTTTTACGATCATCACTGAAGAAACAAACAAAGAAATAACAAACAAATGTTGTGGACGATACTTCGCTGAATTAAATGTTATGGGATTTCCGTTTTCACACCTGCGAACTCAAAGTAATCACTTTCCACAAAATGCAAGGAGCATATAAATCAGGTAGCGTCCGCTTTCCGAGGTGCGCGTATATGTTCTACAGGAATTGCAGCCAGCCATTGGTCCCGATCCCGTTGATCTTTCGGAAACTCTGTCGCACAATGCCACTTTTTTTCGGATGCAGGACATGTGAGCCAGCTCTTCACGCAACATCTTGGGTGTATTTTTTTTGGAGCCGATCATGGAAATTCACCACGGGCACTCACGACTCGTCTCCAACTCCTCAATGTACAAAACAATTCATCTTGGAGTACAGAACAACGAGCGGAACAAACATAACTGCAAAAGAATCGCACGGCGAGCAGTTCCCGGACGCCGCATTGCACGCCGCATGTCGTGTCGTCTGCTACGGAGAGGAGAAAAAAAAACAAAAAAAAAAACGCACGGTCGGGTGTAGCCACGTGACTTCCGCCACTCACTCTCTTCCCTCCACTTCTCCGACCTCCGTCGTGTTTCGGTTTCGGTTTCGAGCAGTTGCGTCTTTTGACTTTATTAAAAAAATACGCTACTCTGTTGCAAAATATTAATAGGGTAGTCCTCCGACACCATAAGAAAGCGCCCGGCAAAAAATAAAAAAAATTTTTTTGGGGGGTGTCAGTGTTCCTTTAAGGGCTGAAGCTGACTTTATAACGATCGCAGCCTCCGTACCAGCACGTCGTGGAAGCCGCCGCTAACTAAAGCGCAGCCATTGTTGATGCACTGGCCATGCGGCTTTTATACATTATTCTGGCGTTCTTCTCTTTGCATACTTTCTAACGTGCTTTGAAAGCGTTTATATTTTCTTTTTGGTACGTAGAAAAATGTTTTTACCACTTAGCACGCGGTAAAAACGTTTCCATAGACAAAAAAGATAAATTTTGGTTTCTTTTCTTTTTGTATTCTTTACAAACTTTTTTTTCGCAAGACGTATCGACCATCTAAGTTTCCCCGCAAAATTTAGTGAAGAGACGGAATCGGAATCCCAACCCACCTTCCCTTTCCTCTTCCTCCCCTCTTTCCTTTCCCTTTTACACCCCCCCCCCCCTTCCCCTAGTCCCACTGAAAATGCATCGCACAAAATACGCGGTCTACGCTGCAAACATGGTGGCAGAATTATCTCCGTACACACTTCAAGCATCTTTGCAGCTTGTTTGCTTCATACATGCCTCGGACAATGTCTTCACACTGTCTTCTGTATGGTGCATTGGCACTGTCACCGCGACCTCAGGGTGCGCCCAACACGAGCAAGCCCCATCCCGTTAACCCCATCTGGTGCCTTGAGACTTCTTCGAATTGGACGTCATGTGTAAGACAGGCGATTTAAGCAATAAGTTTTTCAATTCGCGAAAGAACTGTATAAATCTGCTTTAAACAAACGTTAACTATTTCTACACAAATGTGATATAAGGCTTTAGAGATAAAGGTCGCTCCCAATTTTTTTCATTTATATGTTCTCAATGTTGAAGCACTATAGACTCGGATTAGTTAAATTCGAGGCCACAAGATTAACGTATGAAAAGGATTATAGATAACGCATATGCGAGACGGCACGGCCTCATCGAAAGGTATTAAGGCATATTCGTCCTGTAGCTTCTGCAGTTTACAAATGTCGTGTAGAGTCTTTCAAATGCAATAAATTTTGTACTTTTACAAGAAAAGAATACCAAATTTCGCTCGCTAACGACATGTCCAATGCACATATGTTTGATCTTTGATTCTGCATGATGGGCGTCAAAAACGCGCTGCAGAAGGGGCATAATGCTGGCTACTGTACGAATTGAAACGATGAGTAAAGAAGAGACAGGACAGAAAAAACCGCTGTTGTATGCAGAATGCGTATCACTAGCCGAATTTCATAAAAACAATATGTCAGGAAGAACCGGTACAAGAACTGTCCATTTCGATTTCCCCGATAAATTTAAAAGGGTCATGAAACGCTTTTCCAACTTTTTCCTGCTTAGCTTTCCTCCTCAACTCATAAATCGCGCATTCCACCAAACAGTTAAAGAAGACGAAAAGGGGGTGTCCCCTCTTGCTCGCACTCTCGTTTGTGCAATCCCGGACACATCCATTCTCCCCCTAGAAGATTAGCCCGTCGCTCAAAATTCAGACAAAAGTTGCTTTCCCCACCCCGTTAATTCCGAAGCTGACAGTGCTGTTGAAGCTACGTGCTCGTTGGGCCAGCCACACTTGCCACGTGAGCGTGGCAAATGTGGTTGCAGAGAATGAAGTCAGGTGATGGAAGGGAGGCGGCTGATTGATCCGGCAAGCGCGTAGCTTGCACCACATTGTCAGCTTAGGGGTGAAGGGAATAAGTGAGGTCCGGTTGCGTGTGACGTCAGTTTGGACCCGATGACACGCTTTTGGGGCCGCGGATGTATCACAGTGAAAAGGCAGAGAGGTTGCGAAGGGGAGGAGGTACAAAATAGTCCGCTCTGTTTTCAAATTTTCGCACTGAAAGTCAGGCTTTTGACTTTCTACCTTTTTTCTTTTGGTCCACTGAACGATGTGCTATTAGTAAAATCCCAATCTAAAATGATTTATCCCAACCCAAAAATCGTTTCATGGGCCCTTTAAAGGGGTCATGAAACGCTTTTCCAACTTTTTCCTGTTTCGCTTTCCTCCTCAACTCATAAATCGCGCATTCCACCAAACAGTTCAAGAAGACGAAAAGAAGCGAGGCCCCTCTCGCTCGGAGAGAGCCATTGTCCCCCTAGAAGATTAGCCCGTCGCTCAAAATTCGGACAAAAGTTTCCTTCCCTATCCCGTTCACCCCTAAGCTGACAGTGCTGTGGAAGCTACGTGCTCCTTGGGCTAGCCGCACTTTTGCCACGTGAGCGTGGCAAATGTGGCTGCAGAGAATGAGGTCAGGTGATGAAACGGAGGCGACTGATTGGTCCGGCAAGCGCGTAGCTTCCACCACTATATCAGCTTAGGGGTGAAGGGACTAAATGAGGTCCGGTTTGTGACGTCAGTTTGGACCCGACGATGCACTTTTGGGACCGCGGATGTATTACAGTGAAAACGCAGAAAGGTTACGAAGGGGAGGAGGTACAAAATAGTCCGCTGTGTTTTCAAATTTTCGCACTGAAAGTCAGGCTTTTGACTTCCTACCTTTTTTCTTTTGGCCCACTGAACGATGTGCTATTCGTAAAATCCCAATCTAAAATGATTTATCCCAACCCAAAATCCGTTTCATGGGCCCTTTAAGCTCTCTGCGTCGATAGAAGGCTGCCGCAAAGGAAGGCACAGTCTCGTGGCGTGGCCACCCCAACCGTATGCTCTTTTTTTTTAAAATAAACACCGATTAATACCACTTTTTTTTCTTCTGCACCTTACAATAGTCACTGAAAAACACCGTATCCGCGTGAAAAGTTAAACCCCAACAAAACACCCCGAACTCGAAAAAAAAAAAAAAAAAGTAATCTCCGAGTACACTGAACTTCTGGGAAGCGACTAGATTATAGGTTTAGACGGTAATTTTTTTTTATTGACTCTATACTTGAGCCTTTACTTTATTAACGGTGATTTTTTTATTGTCTTTATACTTGAGCCTTTACTTCATTACTGTGTTATAGTGAAATGCCTATCATACGTATATGCCAGTAGGTTTCACTTTCGCAACTGCGGAATGCTAGCGTTTTGATAATTTATTTATTCGTGTTATTTTATTTCATAATTACTCACAATAATATGCGATCAGTGTTTGAACCCATAGGCGATGAATAGTTTGAGGTCCAGCAACTAAATATATTTTTGAATGCGTCAGGCAAGATGTACAATATAAAATAAAACAAAATATTTCAACATTCCAACATAGGAGATGACTCTAAATTTTACTAATCATAAACCCGATAAAACAAATTTTTTTTATCTTAAACTTAATCTCGCGACTAAAAAAAAACACATTATTTTGGCGATACCATAAAGTTAGTTTTCAATTTTACGGTGCTCCGTATATTATTAGTAGTTAAGGCACCCTTGAAATGGAATTAATTTTTGTCCATACGTATTGCGACATAAAGGTAAATTTAACAAATTGCTTGTTGCTGCCCTCGTATGCCGTGTCGGATATTTAAGCAAGCTTAGGAGAAGTGGGTAGTTGGATTAAAATAATGTGAAAACGGTGTGGGCCATTTTCACGTTGTACACAGAAGTACGAGATCGCACGCAAACTGATTTTAAAAAGTCTGCTCGCGTCAGTAGTTCTTGGTGTGTAAAAGTTCTTGGAGTACGTTTCTGTAAGCAAGTTATTGGTTCTAGGTATGTGGTATATGAATCAGACCGGAACTCCATAGAATAACCCCATTGATTGCGTACAAATGCAAATTAAAGCGGGCGCAATACAAATGAATAAACGTGATCCCGTACCCCAAGCAATGTATGACACCCATAATCAATATTTGAACATATATTTTTAATTTAATTTATGCCACTGCACATCAGATCAAAACGAGATACCGAAATATTTGTAAATGGAAACATGCTCCAACTGCGTATTATCTAAGTTTATAATTAACCCGTCATATTCTGCTTCTTTATTACGGTAGTGGAAGACGGTCCACTTTGTTTTCTTAATGTTATGAATAAATGGATTATTGGTGAACCAAAGTAGGAACCCTGGTCGGTTCCACGCATATTTTTTCTTGCAGTTCGCCCAATGTTGTTTCCACAAGAAGTAAAGCCGAGCCGTCAGCATCTATTAACGCTACAGAGCGTTCTAAAATTCACAGAAAATAGTTTGCATATAGAGAAAAAAGGATGGGTCCCAGATCTGAGCCATAGTCCGAGCACTGAGCCTTGCTGTGGCATTTGAGTTGGGCCTGGTTGTGTTGTATTGCAGCTTCAACCTTGGTCCTGCCCACATAATTAGCTTCGCAAGCGACTACTACCTGCGAAAGAGCACACATGCTCAAGTCCGCAATCAGTTCCATTGGCTGGAGGCAGATTTGCAGGTACGTTCCATCCCTTACATTCACTGTTCTGCCGCTGAGTGCTTCTATTAACAAAATACGTTACTACTGTCGGGGACGGGACAAAACCCATTGGATGCCCCGCCTCGAAGGCGAGATTAATGCCTTCAATCTCGCTTAGTAGCATCCGCAGAAAAAGCACGGCGGAAAGCATTAACGTGGACTTGAGGCAGAGCATCTATACTAGGCCGTTAACATGCCACCAACACCGACTATAGGAAAATACGTCTCATTGCGAGAAATATCAAACGACCTTTGTGCCGACAGGATTTACTTACTTGGAACTGCTGGAGGCAGCGTTATCCCATTTCATTTGGTAGGGGCAGCTTGTCCCATCCCTCGTAGAGTGCTTTTCAAGCGCCAGCCGGGACAGCCGTCTCCTCTGTCTCGCCAAACAGGTAGTATCAGAGCGCTGCAGCGGTAACCTGCAGCCTCGGTGCCTCGCCATTCTGAGACAGCGTGCATTCTCTCGGACTCTAAAGAAAAAAATAATGTGTCATGTGATGTTCATCATCATCCTTTACATGATTGCCTATCGTTTATTGTTATATTTTACACTACAATTATAGAAGCAAACTTTTTTTTTCATCCATAATTTACCGAATTCTTTGTGTAGACGCGTTGAAGCTAAGTCAGTTGGGTCCTACTTGTGGATACAGCTCTATAGAACTGCATAGGGTGTTCTCCGGCGCTATTATGGCATTCACAATTTATAAATAAACCAATGCGCTGAGTGCAATTAGGTTTTTCTTAAAGGTACGTTTACATGGAGAATTTTTCTAACTAAATATTGTGAGTGTAGGTCTTAGGTGAACGTTTTAAGCAAGACAATATTCGGTTTTTTTAATGCAAGGAAAACCGTAAAAAGAATCTAGTTAACGCTGCTAAAAATGGCAAAAACAAAAGTCAAAGACGTGAAAAATCACACGAAAGAATATCCAGCAGATCCGTGCTTGTGTGGTGCGATCCGTGAGTTGTAGCATCTACCAGAATGTATTTTTTTAACCATTTTGCTCCTGTACATAAAAAAATATAAATGGGATGGGGCTATAAATGTTTGTTTTCTAAAATCTACACTTATGCAATTTCAGTATGATAAGTGGACCACGTAAATGCATATTGTAAAAAGTTCCAATGCACTCCATTCATTGGTTTATTTATACGAATATATTTAATGACGCCTAAATATCGCTGGAGAACACCCCGTATATCTAGAATCCTCTATATATGTTCAGCCGGTTCTATCCAAAGGCATCCTTTCGTAGGTTATATTGATTGGCTTTCTAAGTGCTCCATATGGAGATACGCACGGACAATGCTTGGAGCGGAGTGAATTAGCGCATCAAATGAAGTACGGGGACCGCTGTCCCTCAGTCAGTGCGGCTTTCCTATACTATAGGGAGTATTCACTGGCGGCCATAGCTGTGTGCGCGAATGCTGAGTGCGTGCAAATGGCGAGCTTCCACAGTTGTTTCGCAACGTGGATTCCGCACCATCAAGGGTGCCGGTTTTAGCAGCCTATTGATGTGAGCTCGTTCTGAGCATGCGCTCTAAACAGCACCCACAAATATGGCGTCCAGTGAATACTCCCTATATGAGAAGTATTTTTCTCCTTGTAGATTTGAAGGAAAAAAAGCAAAAGGGTGGTCCAGGGTTGGGTTACATGGGTGCTGTCCAGGGTTGGATAGTATCGCGATAAAAATGTATTGCGATAGTATTTCAGAAATACATTTCGTATCTGTATTTCTGTATCGCGATACATTTTTTCACCAGTATCTGTAATCCTGTATCGAAATACATTTTTAATGTTTCTTTGTATCGCGATACAATAAGGATGAAATGTATTTCGTTACATTTCCTGAAAAATGACCCCCCCCCCCCCCCCCCCAATTTGAAAAAAAAAAAAAAAAACTAAAAACAGCCCAAACACATATAATTTTTATTTTTTGTTTCCGAGGGCATTAGAGTCAAGGAGATGCTGGGGCATTGTTACTATGCTGACCAAAGTTCCTTGCGATTCTCGAAACGTTTTTTCTATGCGTGCTCTTCTGTCGTCTCAGAAGTGTTGCGTAGTCGGGGACTCGAACCAGGTGGCGTGCTAGGAGTAGAGTCAGAGCACCTTCTGCCGCAGGTCCTTAAGTAGGGATTTCTTCAGTCATTGCTTCCTGGCATCCAGTGACCGCTGCTAACCGTCTGTCTTGCCTTAGCGGACACAGTGCACCTAGCCGGGAAAGCTGAGTGACAGCCCGTTGCTGCAGGAGCTTGGCTGTGGTTGGCTTGAAATAGTAGGATGACTCACGCTGTGAAGTTCAACACCTATTCGAATGCGTCTGCGACTGCGCCCGTAATATTGCACGGCTCAAGGGTATGTAATCAGCCGACGTGAACGTGACCCGCTGCTCAGGTGATGATGTAGGCCAAAGATAATCAAGCGGAGAATTTTAGATTGTAGCTATTGTGACCGACCCGATACCCTTCAGTAATAAAAAAAAAAAAGCTATCTGAGAGTTCGTAACAATTTAAATACAACCTACTGCGGTTTAAGGGTGAAGGGGAATTTTATGCAGAATAGTTCTCTGTCTCTAAATACCGCGTCAGATGCATCCTGCCCTGCCACATGCAAGTTTTCCTTTTTAAGAACTTACAGTCGCGGAAACAGAGTAGTTCGAGCATACACACGCAATACTATTAAATATTTGTAGAATGTTGTTGCGTTGAAATAACGCCCGAGCGCGTTACAAAGAATCGCCAGTCGTAACTGCATGCCCCTAGGTGCACTTCACTAAAAATCTACGAGGTAGCTAGAATCCTCGTATAAATTATTGTTTGGTGCCTCACTGCTCTTCGTGATGTTGCAGTTGCCTAAAATATAGCGTTGGCCACAGCTTTGGAATAAAGCATGTCTTGGTTCGTGTCGTTCATTGCCGCTTGGTAGGTTGTAAACTCATAGATTTAATTTTTTAAGCAACGCGGCAAATACTCGAGTAAAGACTGACTGTCTCACAATCAATGCGTTCCGTTCCTTTTCATGCAGGAGGCAAATCTTCCTGAGAACCGCAACATGAGACCGTGGATTATCACCATAAGCCATCATCCAATGTATTGCAGTAACAAAGGAGAGAGGGACTGCAATTTAATCGACAGTTTGGTACGCTAACACCTACACTCTTAAGAAGTTACTGGAGGGCGAAAAAAATAAAGTTCAAGGGCCATCCTTGTAATTAACATTTGGTCCCTATTATTAACCAGTATTCTATTTTAGAGACCTGTTAGGCTGCTTGGGTTGTCAAGTAAAGTGAATGCAGAATGTCATCAGTGAAGCGAGGAGCGGATGCCTAAGATTCGCTTTGTTGAACACGTCTTGCAGGTCCGCACGGGCCTAGGAAGCAAAAAGAAGTACGCCTTGGAGAAATTGTTTCGCAAGTACGGCGTGGATCTCCAGTTCACGGGTCACCAGCACTCATATGAACGCACATGGCCCATCTTTAACTACACGGTTCGGAATGTCCAGTATTCACGGCGCAAGGGAACATTTTATTGAAAGCTTGTAAGGACATCTGTCCAAGGATGAACAGATATTAGAGACAATATCTGCAGCTGCCATTTATTGTTTACTACTTTGGCCTAATACGTTAAACCCCAATCAATTATTCACGACATATAGCCCCCATACATGAAGTTGTCTAACTAGAGACTTCAGATTATGTTTTGGAACCATCTATAGTGAAAACAGCTCAGAATTCATGGAGTTGTAAAATTAGCTCTTAGAAGGCCATTCTCGTAGTAATCTACTCCGAAAGCGTTCTTTCTCCGATAGAACCCACAAAGCCGCGATTCGTTCACATCGAAAGTTTTACATTTTACTCCCGGTGTGACTCTACGCCAAGAATAAGAAACCAGACGTCACATGACGCGTTTGACGCAGCCGTCTAACCCTTGGGGCCTGAGTGCTGAGTACTCAGTCAATTGGAACAAAAACATGAAATAGTAGTTTGAGTGTCTGACGCAGATTTTGGTGTTCAATCAGTGAACCACCAACTGAACACGAGTCCTTGCCAGACATTGATGCAGCACTCATGACAAATCTGTGTCCCACTCTCGATCGAAGACGGTGACATGAATATTCCAGTTCACGGGCCTTATGTTAAATAAACACGGAGCTCTAAGCAAGCCGTAGAAGGTGCCCTATGGTTCGATCTCCTGGTAAATACACAGCGTAAAACATCTTGAAAGCTATTGCAGCTTCCGCAGTGCTGTAACTCAACCATACGCGCTCTCGTGCCAGGGAGATGCCAAACGAAGCTACGCGCTCACGCACAAACTTCTGGCAGCGTTCGAGTGCTTCGCAACTTAGAGTTATTATAATGTACGCTAGAGGTTCGACTGGCCCTAGTGTCTATGCGACTTCCGTTACGCAAATTGCAGCAGAGAGTAACCAGTCTAATTTTGCGGTGGTCCTGTGCATTCCTATGGGAAAACGCGCGTGCATTTTGTCTCTTCGCCGGAAAATAACACGGAGCACTTTGGTTATTTGGGTCGTACCGGACAGTATGTACCTTACTTAACATTGTAAGAGTGTAATTGGTTTAGTTAGCGCATTTTTCTTCATCAGTGATCCATGTTTCACTTCACTGCATTTCAGTCCCAAACTTGTGTTCCGCAGCAGGTGTGTAAAAACAAGCAACGATTCAAAGCAAAATTACAATCGAAACGAATATAGAGTGTGTTGAAGGCTTGCCAGCATTCCGGTGACTCTTACATATTGATAATATGCCAGTCCTGTCGCTATAGGAAAACGACCTCGTCGTGCATGAGCAGATAAAAACATTCAAAACGTAAAGAATAAAGTACGTGGGCTGGGAAAGGTGTCTCTTCGTATTGTTTTCTCTACAGGGCAGCTTTTATCGGGCCCTTGTTCTCAAACATTTTGAACGTGCGGGTGATATTTTGAACTTAGAACAAGCATCTTCGCACAGAGCAGAAAAAATAAAGCAGTACTTACTTATTTAAAATCGAAATATATTACGTGGCCTTCAATTTATTTTGATCGTACATGCACAGGTAGCGGCTGATCCAGTGTTACAGCGTAGTTCTTGCCGTCTCCCTTAATTTCCAGATGTCCTTTGTTTGTTTGGAACCTATATTGCCCATGCTGAAAAGCGCCGACGTGTGTTCGCGCTAACAGTGTCCGACAGCGCACAGAAATACACCTACGAAGCCGTTTTAGCACCGTCTTTAATGCGATGAATTTGAAAGAAAAACGCCGTAACTGACCAATTATTGCGTCGGCCTGACTGCGAACTGTTCCAAGCTACCTAGTACGTTTGAATTATTCGAGATATGTGCTCTTATGATCGAGTGCAGGGAGAAAATGCACTCAGTTTTTCCCATAGAAATGCATTACCGGAAGTGAATTTCGGACTGGTTGCTGTCTGCTTTAATTTCCGTCAGCACACTAGCGCCACTTGAACCTCTAGCGTACATTATAATAACTCTATGCTTCGGAAAGTACACCAGCCTTGAGTGCGTTGACTAAACAAAGTCGACACCAAGTACAGCTTCTAGCTAGCCTAACGGTAAACAAGTATAAAAGATTAATAAACGTAAATTACGCCCTGTATCTGCGAAAGTTGGTTAGTTTATTGCACAAGATGCAAGGCGCTTCAAATTAACCGGCCAGTGGCGTTCCGGTGCGAGAGGCAAAAAAGTTTGTTAACCTGTTAAAAAGAAGAATGAAATCGACTTCTACGCCTCGTAATCTGGAACTTTGGAATGAGAGCTCACGTGGATAGCTCTGATTAGAATAATTAGCGGGTAGACACCTTTGTCTTCATTCAGTTTGACCGCCTTCAAACGCCGTCCGGCATTTGGTGTTTAATTCGAACAGTGACTGGGCGTAAAGGCAGCTAGTTTTGCCTTTAACATCTAATCATACAAATCTCGGAGTTCGGGGCTCTGCCTCCAACGCGAGCTCTAATCTCTTTTTCTCCGTGAGTGTCTATCCGTATAGCTTTGCATGCCAAAGTCACCGATACAGAACCATACCCCTTTTGACTAGCACCAAACTGAATGAGTTTGTAATGACCGCTGACTGTACACTTTCTACAGAAAGCAATGTTTAGTTCAACGCGTATTCGAAAGCAAAGGCCACGTAGGATCATTTGTTTATTGCCTGAAATAGATCAGAGCCACATTTAGCCTTTTGGCTGTTACCTTAACTACGCAGGTGTACGACAACGACTGTTTGGAATGGTACCACAATCCCGAGGCGCCAGTGCACATTGTGTCCGGTGCCGCAGTAAGTGTTCTTCACAGTTTTACTCGCGAACGATATTTCCTAAACTGAGCTGTACGAGAGTACGCGCTCTACTCAAGGTGTTACAATCAAGTGCCCATATTTTGTTGTTTGGTAGAGAAAGACCAGATATTATTACGGAGTGTTCGCTAAAAGATAAACTACTTTTGATTACTTACAGAGATGGTACAAACTTAAAGTGTAACATACTAAATAAGCACCGTAAAGTTTGTGTTAAGAAACTCTATTATATATGTATATATATATATACATATATATACGGCAGAAAATGCACTTGAGACGGTTGTTGGTGTTTCTAAAATATACTATTCGTAAAGTACGTCGACGTGTCGGCCTGAGACGAACCTTTTTCGAGTCTTTGTCGAAAAGTCTCGAAAAAGTCCATCTCATGCCGAAACGTCGACGAACTTTACGAATGATATGTTTTAAAAATGTCCAACAACTGTCTCGAGTGCGTTTTCTGACGATATACTTTTCGTCTTCCTGCGCTACATTTTTTTTCTCTCTCTCTCTCTAACTCTCTCTCCATATATATATATATATATATATTTATATATATCAAGAGGGAGAGAGAGATATATATTAAAAAAATAAACATCGAATTTGTCGCGTTGATATTGTGAAAGTATCAATAAATTCAACAATCAAAACTAATCCCTGAAACCAAAAAAGGAGAAACAGGACATGGAAAGAGAAACAAACACGCACACAATCTGTTTTGAATGTGTTTTCTTTACAGTTGATAGATCAGCGGTAGATGAAGTTTTGTCAAACGGAAGATAATTCTTATTTTCAGTTAAACCACGATCTTACGAATTTTTTAATTGTCTTTGGTATCGTACAGGGAAACGATGAGAAGCTGAAAAAATTCCCTTCGTACCAGCCTCCATGGAGTGCCGTAAGGATGGCGGAATACGGATTCTGCAAGCTCAGGCTGTTGAACCGAACGCACCTAAACCTGGAGTACATCACAACATCTCAGGTGTGTCTAGATAATGTACAGCCACCATAAAGTTAGACTCTTCGTTGTCAACAAAGGGTATTGCCATTTTAAATCCGACCAGATCCAGACAAGAAGGGATGCCGCACTATGTCCATGATCGCATAATTTATTTTGACGTTTGTATTTTTGGTGACATTCACCAATACGTCTGCTGTAATTTTCGTCAAATTATAATTTTGTTTTAAGTAATAGAATATCGTCTTGTTTGAATATATTGAAAGGTTTTTTGAACGCAAGAATAGTCGAAGGGCAAAAAAGAGGAAACACGACAAACACGGACGGTGTACAACTCACAACAACTTTACTTACACCACTTCAGCGAGGTCTTCCCAACTCGGCTTCTCCGAGGGCTAGACAGCTCCCCTGTCTCCAACATATTTCTCCAGCACCCTCTCCAGGAATCTCTCTTCCTCTCTCTCAAGTGCAGTGATTTTTTGCTTATGTCGTCATCGCAACTTCTCGGAATTAAAACTTCTTCAATTATCTCTCGGTTCAGCCTCTCACTGCGTTTTGACAGCTACCGTGCTTTCAAAGATTATCTGACACTTCCCTCAGTAATTGACGTGCGCTTTTAAAGGCGGCACCCTGGTGGTCGTTAGTGTGTATTTATGTTCGTTTCAAAGTTCCTTTAGGCATCGCCCTGTTTGTTCTTTATATGTTTTTTTCCACATGAAAGTGGGGTGGAATATACTGCATTATCCTCACATTTCACAAATTTTATCGTGTGGTTTCGCTGACATTGTTGATCTAGGCTTGGTTTTCCGTACACTTTTGGAACTAATTTTGTTGGCTTATTTTTGCATGAGAACACTATCTTGCAGTGCACTGCCAAATGTTTGTTGATAATATAAGAGAATCCGTTAGTGCAAAGAATTGTGATGTACTTTTGAGTATCTCGTTTTTTTTCTTTTGTTTCGATGTAATTTGTCACGATGCCAACATTTTCACTTTGCCCGAGGGGTACCCTGCGCACATAAGGTGTTGAACTTGGTTTTTAATCTATATGAAGCTGTGTGAATATAGAACTTTTTATGGGGGTTGAAGGTCTGGCTGAATTTATGATCCCATGTTTGACCGATTCCGAATGTGAACTTTGCAAGGGGTGTAACAGCTTGTTTGTTTTTTGTTCGTAAATCCAACTCGTCTCCCTGTTTTTATTCATAATTTAAGATCTAAGAACTGAAGTCCTTTTTCAACTTCTGCGTCTTCCGCGAAGTTCAAGCCGAGCGAGTGCCTTTGCAAACACGCTGTTATGTTTTGACTTTTAATTTCCTCAGTATGCACAAAGCGAAAGATGTGCAGGTCTCCGTAGTTGATTCAGCGAAGTAACTTAGTTTTTACCTGTACGTCCTCGCTTAACGCCGGAGGCAAAGAAGAACCGACGCAAACACATTTTTTTTTTTATTGTAGATGCTGTTTTGAAACTCAACGAGTAGCGAGCGCTAGTAGAATTAGAAAAACTGAACAAAAAAGTTTTAGGCTTAGCTCCCTTGATTTTGAAGTTTCATAATGCTTTGTTTCATTACCGCTGATTCAAAGTTTTTCAAGGTAGAGGTTTTCGATGTCTAGAAAAAACACTGACATCTCTCTTTTGTTTAGTGACTATAAGATTGTAACACATTCCTCGGAACTCCAAATTATTAAGGCTGGCCTACAGTTAAGGTGTTTTGCTGTTTGTGTAGAAATTTGCCTTGTGTTCAACAAAGCATTGTACAATTTCACAATAAAGCGGACCTAAGCCTGAAGGCTTGTCTTCATATTTTAAGACTTTACTTGAGCTCCCTACGTGTTGACATATAGAAAATCTAGAATGAAAGAAACAGAGGTTTGCATCGGTTCCTCGGTGGCACCGGCGTTAAGTGAAATTTATCTGAGCGCGGTGGATGTGCAGTTAAAGACTAAGTTACTTCGCAGGATTAACTCCGGAAACCTGAACATCTTTCGCTTTGTGGACAACTACCTGGTCATGCATACTCAGGAAATTAGAAGGCAAGACATAACAGCATGCTTTCAAAAGCGCTTCCTCGGCTTGAACTTCACGAAAGGCGCAGGGGGTGAAAAAGAACTCCTAGATATAAAAGCTATAATTAAAAACAGGGAGACGCATTGCATCTAGGAACATAAAACAAACAAGCGGCTATTCTCTTTCAAAAGTTTGGATCTGAAAACGGTAAAACAGGGCGTTATAAATTCGGTCATACCGTCATCCTTTCAAAGGTCCTGCATTCGCACAGCTGCAGATAGACTAAAAAAACAAGTTTAACGCCTCATGCGCATAGGATAGACGACGGACTAAGTGAAAATGGTGGCATAGCGACTAATTACTTCCAGACAAAACTAAAAAAAAACAAAAAACAACGAGAGACTCAAAGCGTGTTTTACAATCCCCAACACTCAAGCATTCACCCATTACATAAAACAACTTTTGGCATTGCACTGTAACAGTCTGTTCACATGCAAAAATAGGCTAGCAAAAATAGTTCCAAAGGTAAACAGAAAACCCAGCCTTAATAAGCGATGTCAGCGAAGCTACAAGCTAAAATTTGTGAAATGTGAGGATAACTCAATTTATCCACTCAAGTTCACGTTCAAGAAAGTAGCTAGGACAAATAGGACGCTGGTTAAATGAACGGCTAAACGAACATAAATACAAACTGACCATCACCGGGTGGTGTCATCTAATCTTAAAGAGCACGGTAGGAGTCAAAAGGCACAGTGAAATATTGAATTAGGGAATAATTGAAGCCTTTCTCATTCAGAGAAGTGGCGACGACAAATTGATCCAGAATGCCATGCACTGAGAGGCGAGGAAGAGAGATTCCTGGAGGCGGAACTGGAGAAATATGGCGGAGAGAGGGGAGCGGTTTAGTCCTCGGGGAATACGTGTTGGAAAACCTCGCCGAAGTGGTGGAAGTAATGTTGCTGTTTTTAGAACGCCGTCCGTGTCTGTCGTGTTTCTCCTTGTTTGTCTTGTGTCCATATTTAAGTTCAAAAACTTTTCAATACAAATTTGTGTTCTGGAATCTCGAATAAGCAGCCAAATAAGCAGAGGTTATTTGACTTCTAACTCTATTAACGTCCCGTCCTACCATAGCAATAAGTCAAACACCCCCGTTAAAGTTACACCTTACACCTTTATAAATATGAGTATAAAAACACAAGAAAAGCTTGGCAATTAATTTGCCGTAAAGTGTTTGTTTCCTACAGTTTATCTGCTCCCAAGATTTCTGTCGAAATGATAATTTTTTTTGTACCCTTTCCGAAACGTTGCCGCACCACCCACTACGTAAGTGCAGTTCTTGTTTGAGGCTACCCTCTAGCATTGCCTGTACTCTTTTTCTTCCACAAAGAATGAAGGCACGTATCAACTAATTGTGCTTTTTACACCGTACTAAGGCCGCAATTCGCAGGGGAAAAAAATAGTCGGAGCAAAGATACGACAGCATTCTCCGATAACGAGTACTATACCTTGTTTGGATACTTTGATTGACTATAAGGGCCCCATCTTTGCCGAGTTATGCTAAAATAAAGTATAGTTATGACCCAGCTATAACTTACGATTGTATCACACGCACTGCTGTTACGACGTTCTAGAAAACGGGCAAAATCCGCTTACTGGCTGAAAACAAAATATTTTGTGATTCGCATGTTTGTAACTATATTTTGCATGACCATAAGTCCGAGCACAGACGACCTACGAGATGTTACGTCAATCAAGCAATGCTGAAAGTACAACCACCGTCTTTCTGTGCGTACTCACCCTCCGGCTCATTTAATCAGGACCAACTCGCCGCGAAGCAGGCGAGTTTGTTCATGACTTATAAAATTAAAAGCGCCAATAACAAAAACAAGCAAGGCGAACAGGAGTAGCGCTTACTTTCAACTGAACCTTTATTGAAAAACAACTAAAGCAACCAACCACTGATGAAACACACTGAATCACCTAGTGACGTCACCAATCTTCACGCGTCAATGAACCTAATATATTTTTATGCAGAAAAATGGACGGCTTGCTCAAGCAGCCGTCTGCATCGTCTTTGTTTAAAGCACGCGCTTCTACCACCTTCCTTGCTACTTTTTCGCGGGCCACCCCCAAATGATCAGGGTATCTTGAAAGTTGGGGTGGCACAAGCCATCTCTGTAATGAAAAGTAGGTGTTCTCCTGTTGTTCATCGCAATGATAGGTCATGCTCGCGCATCATCTTATTGACACGCCATCCTGTAAGCCAATGTACACACTACCGCATATCACCGATATTCTGTACATCACGCCAATCCTACATTCTACAAATTTGTTGGCATGATTGATGGTTCATCAGCGCGCGTCGTTCCTATTTTTTTAATCCGCTGGCATAATGGTGATACGTGGAGTGTTACAGAAAACACAAGCAACACATCAAATCATTCTGCCATCTTTTTCAAGTTACGCCAAATTTTGTGCAGGTAAGGAACGACCTAACGTTTTTTTTTTTTTTTTTGTCTTTCATAACCTGACCTTCGCCCTTGAATTTTTTTAGCAGCGTCTCAGCAACTCAAATCAAAAGTGACGTTGGATGACCAGCACATCTAATTCGATTAACCTGCATCTTGAAGCTATCACGCATAACATGGTAGCATGGCTTTTGAAGTGCCGCTTGAGAACAAGACGAAGGAATACTCCTTTTTTTTATTTTGAATCTGCCGACTTGTAGGGGAGGATTCTCTTTCTGGAGCGCGGGTTGTAACACCAACATACGCGGTTTCCCGTGAACTGTAGTCTCAAGTCTAGGAGCTGAAGAAACTGGCTTTCAGGGAGTTTGTGAGTGAAGTTTAAGCCTTTCGAACTGCCATGAAACACTTTCAACACACTCGCAACAACCTGGTGCGTCAAAAGATTGCCAGAGCATTGTAATACCACCAAGTAGTCGTCCCCATATCCAACAACCTCACATACTTGTTTCCCTTTCAATCTAATCTGGACATTTCGATAGAACCTAGCTAAGAAAAATTCAAAGAGGACAAGTGCGGCACAAGGTCCGATGCAAATACCTTGTTTTTCCACGTAATAACTGCCTTCGGAAAGAATAAGAGTGGACTGCATGTAAAACTCGAACGTTCCGCAAAACCATCCACTCCTACACCACAATCATTCTAAAAGCCGACAACACCGTTTTCTTCAATGTTCTCAGATTCAGAAACAAACAGGTCCTCGTGGCGCATGGAGTAAAAGATATCCTCTACGTCAAAAGAGAACACCACAACGTCCCCCGTAATATCCCTCTCAAGAGATTCCATTAAGGTCTCTGAAATTTCCCTTTATTAGGAAAGGATCGTTCAGCTTTACAGTTTTCAGGTGTTTTTGCAAAGTAAAGACTGACCACTTTTAGCCATGATCTCTCTCTGTCACAAGAGAACGAGGAGGCGTGCCTGGCTTAGGAGCTTTTGCCGAGAACAAATCGGTGCGCACAGTCTTGCATTGTCTTACACTCTTTTCCGACGTAGACAATTCGAGATCATTCCACAACTTACGAGCAGCAATCTAAAACTTATTTTGAAATTTAAAGGGTCAGTTGATGACAGTTCAATGGCTTAAACTTCTCACACGAAATCCCAGATGACCAGATTCTTCAGTTTCTAGACTTGAAACTGTAGTTCACGGGAAACCACGTCTGCTGAAGTTACAACCCTCGCTCCGAAAAGGGAATCCTTCCCCTCAAATCGGAACATTCGAAATTAATAAAAAGGTGTATTACTTTGTCTTGTCTCCAAGCGGCACTTCAAAAGTAACGCCACCATGTTGTGCGTGACAGGTTCAGCCTTCAGGTTATTCAACATAAAGGTTCTGGCTATCCAACTTCCCTTTTGCTTGGAGGTACAAAACGCTGCAGAAAAAAAAAAGAAAAAGAGAAGCTTAAGGGAAAGAGTCAGGGCATAAAAGAACACCAAAAAACAAGACCGCACGTCATTGCCTACCCGTACAAAGTTTCACATAACCTTAAAGGAGCTGTGCAACAATTTCAGGGCTTTGCATAAATAATTGTGGAAGTTGATGGCTGACACTTCTGCAGTGAACTACAGCAAACAGATTTTGCCTGGATACCCTAGTTTTTATTTTAAAAAAATGAAAAAGATCCAGGTTTTTGCCGCCTCTCAACTCGTGCATCCTCTTCCGGGTCACGTGCACAGTGACGTCACTTGAGTAGGCGCGGAGTTCCGGAAAAGTTCTCTCTTTAGAGCCATCAGCGAGCAGCGAGAACTCATCCGCTCGCGACCGCGTGACCACCCGTCCTTGCCCGTCCGGCGCTGTTCCCTTCCCCCTCCGGCTTCTGGCGGCTCGTGGCCTCCGCGATCTGCTGCCGGCGGCCGCCGGCAGCAGATCGCGGAGGCCACGGGCGGCTGTTCGCGGTTTTGTGGACCTAGGATAGATGGCGCCACTGAAACTCCGTATAATAATAGTTTTGTCGATGATACCAGGGTTTTGACGCATTTATATATAGGCTGGAACGACAAGATTTATAGAAAAGTTATTTTTTATCGAGCAGGAATTCGCACAACTTGCTATCTTTTTTACAACTACCCAAGTGACGTCACGCCGCTTGTTTCTCATGGCCGCCGCTCGTGGCTGCAGGTCGGGAAATATTCCAAGTTTTGCCTCGCTATTACGCGGCGGAATCGCAACATTTCGATGAAAGGAGGTGTGTTTTCTGCCATTTGTGACACAGTGAACAATATCAAAAGCAGAAAATGCCAATTCTTTCAACGTTAAAGCCGTTGCACAGCTCCTTCAAAAAAGGTGGTAAAAATATGTGATATGCCGGTAGTTTTTTCGGCGCCACGCAGGTTGGCGAAATCATGCCTGCGGATCAAAGGAAAAAGAAATGACGCGCGCTTTTTCATCGTTAATCATGCCAAAATACGTGTGGAATGAAGCGTGGGTGTGGAGTTCTGAATACCACTGACATGCGGTAGGGTATACATACATCGGCCAGAGAGGATGGCGACTAAATGAGAGAATGCGCGAGCATGACCTGTCACTGCGATTGACAACACAAGGAGACTTATGCTCCGTTCCACCTTACGAAATACCACTACGGAAGCTACAAGCGGCACGAGCCAGTCCAGAGTTAGTAGCATGTCTCGTGACTTCGCGCTCCAAGCGTCGCTCCGCACAACCGGGGGGACACGTGACATCCTCCAAGCTACGAATTGGCTACGGTGGCTCCTAACGTGCTTTGCGGTTCCATCGTAAGTTGACGAAGATTGCTTGTGCCAAGCCCACTTTCAAGATACCATGATTTCGGGGATTGCCCATGAAAAGATAGCAAGGCTAGTGCTAGAAGCGCATGCTATAAAGGAAGAGGGTACTGAAGGCTGCGTAAGCGAGCCGTAGATTTTTCCGCATCACCAAGATATTGATTTTATTTGACACGTGGTGATGGGTGACATCTTTAAGTGATTCGATATGTTTTAACGGTGGTTGTTTACTTTAGCTGTGTTTTAATAAATGCTCAGTTGAAAGTAAGCGGTCGTCCTACTCGCCTTCCTTGTCGTCCTTGTCAATTGTTATCGCTTTTAATTTTATCTGCGAGTGCGCCATCACTTACGCTTTTGGCCTGCGTCCATCCATCTTGGCAATGAAGCTTGGTTTCGCAGGTAGCCCCATTTTATGCGGAATTCTCGTACCTTTGAGGCGGCCCGCGGCAGCAATCGTTGAACGTGATCGCGAGCTGTAGCGTCCAAGTTTCCCACCGAACTGCGATGCAGCGCTTTTGCCCAATCGTTTCATAGCATGGACCTTCCCAATGTTGCTCTTTTTGGCCACCGACCGCGCTGACTAGCAGACGACCGAGGCGCCTCCCCTTCACTGCCCTGGGGCTCTGCACTTGTTAATCTTCTAGGCTTTGAGCGTGCTAGAACTGCAGGTGAAACGAAGCGTAGTTATTGCTGAGGTACACATGAGCTAAAAAGAAGTCAAACATTTTTTAATCTCATCCAACTTACACCCCAACTGTCAACCAGTGAGTCCCTGAAACCTTTCTTTACACTGCGAGTGACACCAATGACACATATCTTGTATTTTTGGCACCAATTTTATGTGGGACTTTGTTTCAGGCTCCTGAGGTCGTGGACCACTTGACGATTGAGAAGGACGACCCTTACCCATGTTTCTCCAAGTATAGAATGAAGGAAAGTTCTTGAATGGACACCGTCAGCAGGGCTTACACTTAACGAAGTTCAATCACAGTGAAATAGATATATCGATAGTCAACGAGTAAATATAGCCGCATCCTTGGGATGTTTTTGTTTTTTTATAAATAATTCTTCAATTATAGGGCATTTTACAGAATAAAAAAACTTGCATAGGTTCTTTCTCTTTGTTTACTGAATCTTAGATATAAATATTGATAGGAATTGCGAAATAGGATGTTGTTTTGTAGTCTATCCGAAGTTTTTTTTGTCTTTTTTTAAGTTATCTTGCATTGGGGGATTTCTAGCCATTGGGCCTTGATGGGGTGCCACCAGAAAATATGCAGAATGAGTTAATTACACTACTGTTAACGTTACTTACAAAAACTAATCAATTACAAATACAATCACTATTGGTTAAAAAACTTTCAATAATGTACTTGATTACATGAGGGGAAATGTAACCTACAGTTAATTCAAAGTGAATCTGTTACTTTTCTGATTACTTAACATCTTAAAAAGACCGACCTTTCCAGCAGTTGGGAGATTGGCGTTTTGTACTGTTTAATATTGGGTTAGAATCATTGGTCAACAGACTACTGACGTTTTCAATCCTCCACTTTTGGTAGTAAAGCTGTGAAATCAAAGAACACCAGTAGAAACGAAAGGGGAAAACTCTACTTTGTACAAACTTGGAAGCGAGAAATATGTCAGAAATTGGCACAAAAGCGATGTTTTGGGTTTCGGGAGCTCAATCCAGGTCGCAATAGCGCGGTGGAGCAAACCAGATCTGTCTTTGTGCACGAAGGAACGTTCACACTCGTTTATGATACGCTAGCCTATATTAATATTTACCGAAAAACTTTCGAACCTCTAATTTGGGGAATGATTTATTCGTATAGAACAGGGGTGGCCAGGCTGACCAGGCCTAAGAGCCGCAAACGAAACCGCGAAACTTCTAAGAGCCGCGGGCGGTGAGAGGGGGTGGGGAATTAAAATTATGTTTAGAGTCTGACTTTACGTATGAGTGCACAAGGCTGTACAAATGTATGTATGGAGGTACAAGGCTGCCAAACCGCGAGCCGTACTTTATTCTGCCTGAAATCCCTTCTCTTTTCCTGGGGAAACACGGGAAGGGGCGGGGAAAAGGGACGGGGGGTCCCCTTACGAGGGATCCGCGAGCCGCACTTGGACCAGCAAAGAGCCGCATGCGGCTCGCGAGCCGCGGTTTGGCCACCCCTGGTATAGAACACCAACCGTTACATGCGACTATGATATTGATTTTCTTTTACTTATTCGCACCTTGCTTTGGTATATATGGAGTTTTAGAAGACATTTCAGCTACTCCCGCTACGCTTTCCGTAATCAGCTACGACCTCCGCTACATGCGGAGAAGCGATTACAAGTTTCACTAGAACGTCCGCAACGCTCTAGAAATCACTGCCTTACCAGAGCGAACAAAAAAGAACTAGCGACTTACGCACACTAAAGCTCATGTGAAAAAGATATCAGTAGAGCAATTTATTTTTTATTTCACAATACTGTCAGCCCTGTCAAGGGCCAGAGCAGGAGTGGATAATACAAATCTTTCGAGTCAAAAGGATCGTCCGGCGTCATTAGCGGACGAACCTTTCGACTCGAAAGCGGCGCGCGTTCCGCAGTCGACGACAGTCCCAGAACCAAAAACAGGCGCGGTAACATCAAGGAACTGCAAGGCAGACGACATAAGTACCCGCATAAAATAGTCAAAAGAACCAGACAAACCATTTTTATATTGGATTATGTTTCCATTCAATGTGTTTTATTAGTGAGGATGATAAAAATCATTAATTGGCAACTGACATTGAAAAAGCTCGCGCCGGTTTTGATTCCAAAGTATTTTCTGCTATATGACGCCGGCTCTCGGCGCCGTATGCTCGTTGGTTGGCGGCAGTTGGCGTAGCGACCGCTTGCGCCATCTCTTGTCTCCCGTGCCAAACGGGTCCCTTATCCCGTAAGAAAATGTCAGATATGGCCCATATATATTTTATATATGGCCATATATGATAACATAAGGAGTCAAATATGGCAATATACCGCTCTGTATGGGAACAAATACGGCGAGATATCGCCATATAAGTTGGCAAATACTGCCCTATATGGCCATACAAGTGCGTAAATACAACCATTTATCGCCATATACGCCTGCAAACAGCCTATATCGCTGTGTAAATGTTCAAATACTGCCATATACGACATATATGGTTAAAAATATATCCCCTGATAATGATACATTTATATATTATTTATTTACAGAAACAACCTGCAGCGCCAAAGCATTATAGCAGGAAAACAAAAAAAAACATACTCACAAACATATATACAATGGCGAAAATACAATAAATGCTGTTAAATAAAAGAAAACATTTAACACAAGTGTTAATAAAAGAACACATATGTCATGCAAGCGAAACGTCATATGTACTTTCCAAGACACTAGTTGATCGGTCTACATTGCATGAGTCTCATGTAATTGGTTAACTATTGCTAACATCTTTAAAGTGAAGTTATTTCAGATATTCGAACCAATTAATCAATTGCGAATTTTGAAGGTTGAAAGTCAACTGAAATTTGGTTGTATGTTTGACGTGTGACATGACAAAGCGCATAAGATCGGAAAGCGAGTTAATCAAATAATGGATTTTAGATCGCAGCTCTTAGACGCCCGCTTCCACGTTATGGCGACGCCGACACCGCTTAACGAGAAATTAGCGAGAAATTGAATTGGTACTTATGTCACGTGACGTCAATTTTCGCGCTAAATCTAGCAGTGAAACTAATTTTATTCGTGTTTCCCCGCTAAATTGAGCGAGGAAACACGAACCGTTAGCGCACTGAAGATGCAAGACGCTAGTTCGTCGTCCCGAATCCTTTTCCCCTACCAACGGCTGCGAAGCCGTTGCGCCCGAAGTGCCCTACGCAGCATCTTTCAAAAACCGTTCGCGCAGCATCGCAACCTTCCTTATGCGAGCGTCTACAATTCATTGTGTCTTGAAAGTCGGAAGATGGGCTGCCCGTGGCGTCGTTTATGTGTAACTCTTTCGTAAAAAAGTTTGAAATTTAAAAGTGTGAAACTAGTAGTTCACACATAATTTTAAATTTATTGGTAAAAATTTATATATATATCTGTATATGTTTCTGTTTATTTGTAAACGTCGTGCGCAAAAACTAGTGGCGCTTATTTCTTCATTTAAAATTTTAATGGGGGGTTATACGGCGTAAAACATAGTATCTTTAAACTCGCATCGTTTTGGGTCACTTTCTAGTAGGACAGCTTCTTTGGAACCTCAAAAGCTGGATTTCATACAGCTGTAGTTCACTCGGTATTGACAGCAGGATAGACGCTATGCATGTTTTAGGCCAATTGTGTCTCCGTTTAGGGTCACGTGGCTACAGCCTAGAAGCTGGTGATAAGACAATACACGGCACCTGCCTGGAGCCCAAGGTCACACATAGCATTTACTGCACTATCGACCTTGGGTACAAGTGACAAATCCGCTCGTTATGGTCGTTGATGCCCCCTAGAAGGTAAGCCTTTTGTGTGTGCACTTCCGTTTTGGCCTTTCCTCCTCTCCTTTTCTCTCTCTCCCTAAGTTGAAAGCGTGGTATTAGCGGCGTGGTCGCGTGGTTTGATGGATGACGCATTAGCCATTGGCAATCTCAGAATGCGTTCTCCCGGACCTAGTTTGGCGTGTGTTGCGCCCAGCGTGGCTGCTGCGGATTTCTTAGTCTGCAGTAAATTCGAAAAGTCCTACCCGTATATCGGTAACAGGCGATTTCTTCAAAAAAAACCCAAAATATTTTGTGACGCGTTTAGTGTTCGGTTTTACAAATGACAGCTTGTGCTACATCATGTTGAATTTTCACGGACACCTTCCTTCTCGTTTTTGTGTTTGAGTGGTGGTCCTGCCGGAGCCGTGTCGACACATATCTCGGATTAGACCTTTCAAGTCCCGCCTCGGGCGCGTTAAGTCCGTGCTCCGGAGCGCGAGAGTTTGGCGCTCCTTTCACTAAACGGCGAGGAGTGCCACCGGAGACTGACACTCGAGCGCGCTCTTCGTGCACCGAGAATTTTTCGGAGCGCGAGTGACTTCTTCGCGCTCCGTGGCGTCACGTAAACAAACAAGATGGCTGCGCTGCTGTTGAGACCGTGAGACGAAAAGGCGTAGCCGGACCGCTGCCTCTTTTCAGTTGATTAGTACTTAATCCACCGGATAAAAAGGATTTGATTTGAAAGTCAAGACAGCAATTAGCCTTCCGAAAAAGGTTTGTTCGTGCATCTCGCCTGAAAAAGGAATTAATCTATCAAACGGTAGCGTGCCAATTGGACAGCGACAGACAAATTGTCGAGATGAGGAGACATTCGGACCGCTCTGTGCCTTTTATAATGCTTAGCCCAGCGAATAAAGATACTTCGAATTGAAAATGCCGAAACATTAGTGAGCGCTGAGGAAAAGGTTTGTTCGTGCGTCTTGCCTGAACACGAATTGATCTATCGAACGAGCGTGCCGATAGCTCGGCGACTGAAAAGTTGTGGTGAAAAGACAGCCAGACCGCTGGCTGCCCTGCTTAGGATGCTTAGCCCAGCCGTACCGAATAAAGATACTTAGATCGGAAAGCCGAAACACCAGCTAGCGTTGCGGGCAAGGTTTGTTCATGTATACCGCTTAAAAACGAATTGACGTGCAATCGAACGATGGTTTACCGGTATCGGCATAGCTTGTCTCGCTGTGAGACGGAACCAGCGGAACCAGGGAATCTGTGACAAATTTTAGGGTTCCCTGCGTCGACGAGCGGGTTCGAGAATGCTGTCTTTAATTTAAATCGGAAGAGCATGAATGGTCAATAAATAGATCGGCCAGGTTATCTTCCACATATGTGCACGAAGCGAGTCTTCTAACATTCCAGGAATATTAAAACGTTCGTAGAAACTTCATAACGTCGCCGCCTCATTTACTTTAGACTCTGTCACTCATCACGGGCCTAATTAATTTATCTTCGAAATATTTTCGGCTTCTGCCATCCGTATCCATGGTCGGAAGGAGCCCGTGTGGCCCGTCGAAGGTTTCTGTGGTTTCTGGCCCTATGCCCTCTTCCAAAACTAACTCAATCTAACTCTAGGGCAAA